AACCCACAACCCTGGAATTGCAAACGCCATGCTCTACCAACTGAGCTACATCCCTGCTGGCCATTCCCCCCCCCCTACCCTGGACGACGCTGGGCCAATTGTGCGTCGCCCCATGGGTCTCCCAGTCACCGCCAGCTACGACAGAGCCTGGATGGGGGCTGTCTTCATCATAAAAGCATAAAAGCTGATAGTATTTCAACCACATAAAATATGCATCAAAGCCGAACTGAAATCTTATCAGAAACACTTTGGGTCATTTTCACAGTTTTATTTTTCCTTACAACTGGTCAAACGGATGTAATTTGGAAATTTTGCACAGAAAATCTTTCCAGTTTTTTTTGTTGCATTATTGTATTTTCTCCACAGTACCTAAACGTATTTGCTCCACGAAAGATGACAGAGAAAACTTTACCGAGGTCAACTAGATTGAAGCATTCATTCGATCGATCTATTACATTATTATGTTGAGCAAGGATGTATTTAATCTTCTAGGGCAACATATAATGACAAAAGAGAAGCTACATGTACATTACCAATCAAAAGTTTGGACACACCTACTCATTCAAGGGTTTTCAAAATTTTTACTATTTGTTACATTGTAGAATAATAGTGAAGACATCAAAACTATGAAATAACACATATGGAATCATGTAGTAACCAAAAAAGTGTTAAACAAATCAAAATATATTTTATATTTGAGATTCTTCAAATAGCCACCCTTTGCCTTTATGACAGCTTTGCACATTCTTGGCATTCTCTCAACCAGCTTCACCTGGAATACTTTTCCAACAGTCTTGAAGGAGTTCCCACATATGCTGAGCACTGGTTGGCTGTTTTTCCTTCACTCTGCCGTCCGACTCATCCCAAACCATCTCAATTGGGTTGAGGTCAGGAGATTGTGGAGGCCAGGTCATCTGATGCAGCACTCCATCACTCTCCTTCTTGGTTAAATAGCCCTTACACAGCCCGGAGGTGTGTTGGGTCATTGTTCTGTTGAAAAACAAATGATAGTCCCACTAAGCCCAAACCAGATGGGATGGCGTATCGCTGCAGAATGCTGTGGTAGCCATGCTGGTTAAGTGTGCCTTGAATTCTAAATAAATCACAGACCGTGTCACCAGCAAAGCACCCCCACACCATAACACCTCCTCCTCCATGCTTTACTGTGGGGACTACACATGCGGAGATCATCCGTTCACCCACACCACGTCTCACAAAGACATGACGGTTTGAACCAGAAATCTCAAATTTGGACTCCAGACCAAGGGACACATTTCCACCGGTCTAATGTCCATTGCTCGTGTTTCTTGGTCCAAGCAGGTCTCTTCTTCTTATTGGTGTCCTTTAGTAATGGTTCCTTTGCAGCAATTCGACCATGAAGGCCTTATTCACACAGTCCCCTCTGAACAGTTGATGTTCAGATGTGTCTGTTACTTGAACTCTGTGAAGCATTTATTTGGGCTGCAATTTCTGAGGCTGGTAACTCTAATTAACGTATCCTCTGCAGCAGAGGTAACTCTGGGTCTTCCATTCCTGTGGCGGTCCTCATGAGAGCCAGTTTTATCATAGTGCTTGATGGTTCTTGCGACTGCACTTGAAGAAACTTTCAAAGTTCTTGAAATGTTCCGTATGGACTGACCTTCATGTCTTAAAGAAATGATGGACTGTCGTTTCTCTTTGCTTATTTGAGCAGTTCTTGCCATAATATGGACTTGTTCTTTACCAAATAGGGCTATCTTCTGTATACCCCCCCCCCCCCCCCCAAGAGAATGCCAAGAGTGTGCAAAGCTGTCATCAAGGCAAAGGGTGGCTATTTGAAGAATCTCAAATATAAAATATATTTTGATTTGTTTAACACTTTTTTGGTTACTACATGATTCCATATGTGTTATTTCATAGTTTTGATGTCTTCACTATTATTCTACAATGTAACAAATAGTAAACATTTAGAAAAACCCTTGAATGAGTTGGGTTATGGGATGGGTTATTAGCAATTCCAGGCGGGTGCGAGTGAAGAAACAGCTGACCCACGCACCACTAGTAGGGGACACCCGTACACAGTATCCTTCGCTCCTCGCCTGCCGAGCACTGCTTTCCCATAGTTCTGTTAAGGTTACCACAGCATGTAGTAACCGCAGCATGTAGTAACCGCAGCATGTAGTAACTGCAGCATGTGTTAACCACATCATGTAGTAACCACAGCATGTAGTAACCACAGCATTTAGTAACCGCGGTCTGCAGATGGACCCTACTCGTCTAGTGAAATGTTCTAGAACACACTGGTCTTAATGATTTCCTATGGCAGGGACCATTTATGTGAAATCCCTACTATTTAACAGAATTTTCCAGCCATAATCTTTTAGAACAATGTGTATCGTTCTCAAAACAGAGAAAGGAAAATCCCACTTCCCAAGCCACATTGGACAATGCAACGCATAAACATGGGAAAAACCCAAGTCATCCATGATACTATGAAAGTGTCATAACGAAAGGGAAAGCTGCAAATTTAGGGCAGTGTGTGGGGGAATACGGTACAAACACATTGTTGACTAGCAGCCTGCAACCTAAAATCATAACTTTTTACATTGAAATAATAACATTATTTTTGTTAGTTTGCGACACCACTTCTCCCACACTCTCCCTCTCTTGCAAATCAGCTGTGTTGCACATGCCATCAATGGCTGATACCCAGACATTAAGAATGAAAACCTTGGCTTGTAGAAGAGCCTTCTATCCACAGTTGCAGCAATACATTCCCACGGTGAATGGCTAGGCCCGCTATGCTATGATACTTTGATATTACCGGACGCAATTGATATGGTGAAAACAATGTGTGGGGAGGCAGAGGCACAGAAAGTCACATCATACTTTTGTCAGATAACACTGTTAAACAAATATTTTATGCTATGGACAAAAAAGTTTGGGAACTCCTGTGTTAAAGCCTCTTAGGCTGCGTTTACACAGGCAGCCCAATTCAGATCTTTTTTTTTCACTATTTGGTCTTTGGACTAAAAATAATTATCCGATGTGAAAAGATCTGATGTGATTGCTCAAAAGACCAATTAGTGGGGGGGAAAAAATCAGAATTGGGCTCCCTGTGTAGACAGCCAGAGTGGAGAACAGATAACCTAAACATAAAATTGTTAGAGCTATGCAAAACATATACATTTAGCTAGGTATGTTTATAGGGAGGCTACATTTACATTTTACATTTACGTCATTTAGCAGACGCTCTTATCCAGAGCGACTTACAAATTGGTGCATTCACCCTATAGCCAGTGGGATAACCACTTTACAAATTTTTTTTTGGGGGGGGGGGGGTAGAAGGATTACTTTATCCTATCCCAGGTATTCCTTAAAGAGGTGGGGTTTCAAATGTCTCCGGAAGGTGGTGAGTGACTCCGCTGTCCTGGCGTCGTGAGGGAGCTTGTTCCACCATTGGGGTGCCAGAGCAGCGAACAGTTTTGACTGGGCTGAGCGGGAACTATGCTTCCGCAGAGGAAGGGGAGCCAGCAGGCCAGAGGTGGATGAACGCAATGCCCTCGTTTGGGTGTAGGGACTGATCAGAGCCTGAAGGTACGGAGGTGCCGTTCCCCTCACTGCTCCATAGGCAAGCACCATGGTCTTGTAACGGATGCGAGCTTCAACTGGAAGCCAGTGGAGTGTGCGGAGGAGGGGGGTGACGTGAGAGAACTTGGGAAGGTTGAACACCAGACGGGCTGCGGCATTCTGGATGAGTTGTAGGGGTTTAATGGCACAGGCAGGGAGCCCAGCCAACAGCGAGTTGCAGTAATCCAGACGGTAGATGACAAGTGCCTGGATTAGGACCTGTGCCGCTTCCTGTGTAAGGCAGGGTCGTACTCTCCGAATGTTGTAGAGCATGAACCTGCAGGATCGGGTCACCGCCTTGATGTTAGCGGAGAACGACAGGGTGTTGTCCAGGGTGACGCCAAGGCTCTTCGCACTCTGGGAGGAGGACACAACGGAGTTGTCAACCGTGATGGCGAGATCATGGAACGGGCAGTCCTTCCCCGGGAGGAAGAGCAGCTCCGTCTTGCCAGGGTTCAGCTTGAGGTGGTGATCCGTCATCCATACTGATATGTCTGCCAGACATGCAGAGATGCGATTCGCCACCTGGTTATCAGAAGGCTACAGTCAATACAAACATAACATAGTGATACAATGAAAATCTTATCGAATCTCACATGTTTTGAGGGCATACCATGAATGAGTTATCTCCTTTAGATGCAACCGGGTCTCAGAGTATTTCGTATTATTCTCTACGTAAATCCGTGACACTCCATTTAGTATGACATGTTATGTTTTGTATGGTATGTATTAATTTGTGGATGTCCATCACCCATTCGAAATATATGTTACAAATTACAATTCGTATGATATGTTACGAATTTGCAAAATGTACAATATGTTACGAATTTGCGAAACGTATGATATTTTTACGAATTCTAGCTAGGTGGCTAACGTTAGCTAGCTGGATAACGTTAGCTAGGGTTTAGGGTTAGGGGAAGGGTTAGCTAACATGCTAAGTAGTTACAAAGTATCTAAAAAGTAGTAATTAGTTAGAAGTTGCTAATTACCTAAAGTTGCCTCTAATAAGATTCGAACTCCCAACCTTTGGGATGTTAGACATTCGCATGATACGCCCACCGATCCACCCCCACGTTCGCATTATAGGCCCACCCATCCACCCCCACGTTCGCATTATAGGCCCACCCATCCACCCCCACCTAACCATACCAAATGTAACATATTATACTAATTTGCATGTCCTGGATTTATGTTTACTCTGTTATTTATAGTCTATGAGACCAGGGGGTGTGGATTAGGCGACAACATTTCCAAGGGGAGTCTGCAATGGGAAACCCCCCCAATAAAATTACATGTATAAAATATCAAGATGGGCAAAGGACAGAAGCTTATTTGTCTCAATGTTTCTACAAGAAAAGAACTACCTGTAATTTCTCAAAACAAAACAGATAATGACTACATTCGCGCTTTGGATAGTATTGCTGCCTACTGCAGGTAAGAACGAAATATTTTTCCTAAAATACTGTAGTTTAAAATGTTATATGAGGTCACATATGTTTAATTTGGACAAATTATTGTCTCTCTTTTAAAGCGTTGAAATTTGTCGTAAACCTCACACCGAAGGATCCTATGGCTCGAGTCGGCGACAGTCTGGTGCTGACGTGCAACGCCAGTGGTTGCGCCGAAGCTGTTACGTTCACCTGGGGTACATTGCTTGACCAACCGCTCTACGGTAAAACGGAGACCAACGGGCCAGTGTCCCTGCAAATATTTAACCCCGTGGGAGTTCGGCACATCAACAAGGTCGTCTGTAAGGCCACATGCAGAACCAAAGGAGAAAAAGCTCAAACGTCTACTGAGGTGAAAGTCTATGGTAAGTTGTGTGCATCTTTGTTTATTGTAGGCTTTTATAGTAGAACGTCTTCATGAATATTAGCTTATAACCTCTTCAGACCATGCGCAATTGCTTTGAAGTTTCTAATATTATATTCATCCACTAATATACACACTTTCGTGTTCCTCCCAAATCAAGAACATTCCAATGAATCTAAAGTGTTTTAGGCAGGGCTACTGTATGTCGATAGTCTACATAGGCTTGGCTTGGCTTCCCAGGGATTTTACGCACCGCTACTGATTCCAATATGAAACACTGATGACAGATCATGATGCTTGATAATTTCATTAAAATATGTATGAATGAATTGCTAAATAAATAAATGAATTGCTAAATGAATTGCTAGAGTAGTGGGTTAAAATGCAACTTGGACACAAAAGTTAGTTTCTCTGTAGCTGTATATAACTTCTCTTAGGCTACTATCTGTAGGTCTTATTTCAAATGACCGCTAGAAAAAACATTGTCTACTGGAATGCCATGACCCAATGTATTTTGTATTTTTATTAACCATCAATTGATTTGTAATTGACAGCCTTTCCAAAGGATCCCACCATATCAAGAACTGACCTTCTGACCGAGGGTCAGGAGAGTAACCTCACCTGTACAGTTCCAGATGTGTACCCGGCTGACCGTCTAATCATTGAGTGGCTACTGGGAGATGTTCTCCTCAAACAGGACGAACATCTGGAAGTCCAGACGGCCACCTCAGTGTTTGAATACAGACCGACAGCCCAGAACAATGGACAGAATGTTACCTGCAGAGCCACGCTGGACATTGAGATTGACCAGAGAACCAGAGAGACTGTCGCATCAATGACAGTTCAATGTAAGTACATATCTGTCAAGAGTTGTTCAATCGTTCTCATTAGACAATGTTTTATATACAATTGTGGTACAAGTTAAAGAGGCTATAGAAATCTTTTGCCTCTGGGGTGCTCTCGAGCCAAAAAGAGTCCCCTAAATGGACGGAAATATTGTCCAGGAATTACCTCGTTGGACAAAAAGGAGCACACCCATGAGAAACATAATACAGTGTTTGCCTAAAACTAAGGGTTTGTTTAATATAATGTCAAAGGTACACTACCGGTCCAAAGTTTTAGAACACCTACTCATTCAAGGGTTTTTCTTTATTTTTACTATTTTCTACATGGTAGAATAATAGTGAAGACATCAAAACTATGAAATAACACATATGGAATCATGTAGTAACCAAAAAAGTGTTAAACAAACCAAAATATATTTTATATTTTATATTCTTCAAATAGCCACCCTTTCTTTGATGACAGCTTTGCACACTCTTGGCATTCTCTCAACCAGCTTCATGAGGTAGTCACCTGGAATGCATGTCAATTAAGAGGTGTGCCTTCTTAAAAGTTAATTTATTTCCTTCTTATTGCTTTTGAGCCATTCAGTTGTGTTGTGACAAGGTATGGGGGCGGGGGGGTATACATAAGATAGCCCTATTTGGTAAAAGACCAAGTCCATATTATGGCAAGAACTGCTCAAATAAGCAAAGAGAAACAACAGTCCATCATTTCTTTAAGACATGAAGGTCAGTCCATACGGAACATTTCAAGAACTTTGAACGTTTCTTCAAGTGCAGTCGCAAGAACCATCAAGAGCTATGATGAAACTGGCTCTCATGAGGACCGCCACAGGAAAGGAAGACCCAGAGTTACCTCTGCTGCAGAGGATAAGTTCATTAGAGTTAACAGCCTCAGAAATTGCAGCCCAAATAAATGCTTTGCAGAGTTCAAGTCACAGACACATCTCAACATCAACTGTTCAGAGGGGACTGTGTGAATCAGGCCTTCATGGTCGAATTGCTGCAAAGAAACCACTACTAAAGGACACCAATAAGAAGAAGAGACCTGCTTGGGCCAAGAAACACGAGCAATGGTCATTAGAGCGGTGGAAATGTGTCCTTTGGTGTGGAGCCAAATTTGAGATTTTTGGTTCCAACCACTGTGTCTTTGTGAGATTTGGTGTGGGTGAACAGATGATCTCCACATGTGTAGTTCCCACCGTAAAGCATGGAGGAGGAGGTGTTATAGTGTGGGGGTGCTTTGCTGGTCATGCTGTCTGTGATTTATTTAGAATTCAAGGCACACTTAACCAGCATGGCTACCACAGCATTCTGCAGCGATACGCCATCCCATCTGGTTTGGGCTTAGTGGGACTATCATTTGTTTTTCAACAGAACAATGACCCAACACACCTCCGGGCTGTGTAAGGGGTATTTAACCAAGAAGGAGAGTGATAGAGTGCTGCATCAGATGACCTGGCCTCCACAATCTCCTGACCTCAACCCAATTGAGATGGTTTGGGATGAGTCGGACGGCAGAGTGAAGGAAAAACAGCCAATAAGTGCTCAGCATATGTGGGAACTCCTTCAAGACTGTTGGAAAAGTATTCCAGGTGAAGCTGGTTGAGAGAATGCCAAGAATGTGCAAAGCTGTCATAAAGGCAAAGGGTGGCTATTTGAAGAATCTCAAATATAAAATATATTTAGATTTGTTTAACACTTTTTTTTTTACTACATGATTCCATATGTGTTATTTCATGTTTTGATGTCTTCACTATTATTCTACAATGTAGAAAATAGTAAAAATAAAGAAAAACCCTTGAATGAGTAGGTGTGTCCAAACTTTTGACTGGTACTGTATATCTAACAACCATTCTTTTTCCCTATGTAGATTCCCCCAGAAATATCAGTATCTCAGAGAACACTCAGGTGAATATCGGAGACAGTTTTACACTGACGTGTCGTGCTGAGGGGAACCCTGAACCTTCAGTGTTGTGGAGAAGACTGGACCAAGATGGCCACTCAGTCGTGGCAGGAAAGGGTGCGACCGTATTGGTGGAAGAGGCGACATGGTCCCACGGTGGAGAGTATGAATGCATGGCCCACAACGTCATAGGAAACCGTACAGCTCACATGACTGTTAATGTTCAAGGTGAGTCAAACTTTATCAGCTTGTGGTTTGTCGTCTTAAAAGGTATACCCCATTGCGATCCCATTGTAGTTGACAAATACTGACTGTAAAATAAAGACTAAATAATAACAAAGAAAGATTATAATTCATAAGGACAAAAAAAGCGTGCTTAATATTGTGTCAACTTTGGAACCATGAAGATGCCCTTGGAAATCAACTAGTTAATTTTACTTTGTGAAATACCTCATGAACATGGTGTACTATCATTATTATTCACATTTTATGTTGACATTTTTGTATTTAAATAACTTATTTGATATATTTATGATTATGTTACTCATTGCCCCTGGCAGGTCCTCCAGAGAAGCCTGTTCTTTATCTGAGCCCATCTGGTGAGCTGAAAGCAGGGGACAGTGTGACCATTATCTGCCAATCAGAGAGCGGGCCGCAGGGGCGCGTGGCACTACGCCAGGTGACCGGCAGTCAGGGGGCGGAGCTACAGTCCAACCAGGGCCACACCTCCATCACTGTCCAATCGCTGACAGCTAGAGACTCGGGACTGTACGAATGTCAGGCTACCAATCCCTATGGGAAACAGACATCTTCCATCAACGTCACAGTCAGAGATGAGCTTTATACAGAGAACCAGAGAACCAGTGAGATTGTTGCATCAATGACAGTTCAATGTAAGTACATTTCTGTCAAGAGTTGTTCAATCGTTCTCATTAGACAATGTTTTAAATACAATTGTGGTACAAGTTAAAGAGGCTATAGAAATCTTTTGCCTCTGGGGTGCTCTCGAGCCAAAAAGAGTCCCCTAAATGGACAGAAATATTGTCCAGGAATTACCTCGTTGGACAAAAAGGAGCACACCCATGAGAAACATAATACAGTGTTTGCCTAAAACTAAGGGTTTGTTTAATATAATGTCAAAGGTACACTACCGGTCCAAAGTTTTAGAACACCTACTCATTCAAGGGTTTTTCTTTATTTTTACTATTTTCTACATTGTAGAATAATAGTGAAGACATCAAAACTATGAAATAACACATATGGAATCATGTAGTACCGAAACAAGTGTTAAACAAACCTAAATATATTTTATATTTGAGATTCTTCAAATAGCCACCCTTTCTTTGATGACAGCTTTGCACACTCTTGGCATTCTCTCAACCAGCTTCATGAGGTAGTCACCTGGAATGCATGTCAATTAAGAGGTGTGCATTCTTAAAAGTTAATTTATTTCCTTCTTATTGCTTTTGAGCCATTCAGTTGTGTTGTGACAAGGTATGGGGGCGGGGGGGTATACATAAGATAGCCCTATTTGGTAAAAGACCAAGTCCATATTATGGCAAGAACTGCTCAAATAAGCAAAGAGAAACAACAGTCCATCATTTCTTTAAGACATGAAGGTCAGTCCATACGGAACATTTCAAGAACTTTGAACGTTTCTTCAAGTGCAGTCGCAAGAACCATCAAGAGCTATGATGAAACTGGCTCTCATGAGGACCGCCACAGGAAAGGAAGACCCAGAGTTACCTCTGCTGCAGAGGATAAGTTCATTAGAGTTAACAGCCTCAGAAATTGCAGCCCAAATAAATGCTTTGCAGAGTTCAAGTCACAGACACATCTCAACATCAACTGTTCAGAGGGGACTGTGTGAATCAGGCCTTCATGGTCGAATTGCTGCAAAGAAACCACTACTAAAGGACACCAATAAGAAGAAGAGACCTGCTTGGGCCAAGAAACACAAGCAATGGTCATTAGAGCGGTGGAAATGTGTCCTTTGGTGTGGAGCCAAATTTGAGATTTTTGGTTCCAACCACTGTGTCTTTGTGAGATTTGGTGTGGGTGAACAGATGATCTCCACATGTGTAGTTCCCACCGTAAAGCATGGAGGAGGAGGTGTTATAGTGTGGGGGTGCTTTGCTGGTCATGCTGTCTGTGATTTATTTAGAATTCAAGGCACACTTAACCAGCATGGCTACCACAGCATTCTGCAGCGATACGCCATCCCATCTGGTTTGGGCTTAGTGGGACTATCATTTGTTTTTCAACAGAACAATGACCCAACACACCTCCGGGCTGTGTAAGGGGTATTTAACCAAGAAGGAGAGTGATAGAGTGCTGCATCAGATGACCTGGCCTCCACAATCTCCTGACCTCAACCCAATTGAGATGGTTTGGGATGAGTCGGACGGCAGAGTGAAGGAAAAACAGCCAACAAGTGCTCAGCATATGTGGGAACTCCTTCAAGACTGTTGGAAAAGTATTCCAGGTGAAGCTGGTTGAGAGAATGCCAAGAATGTGCAAAGCTGTCATAAAGGCAAAGGGTGGCTATTTGAAGAATCTCAAATATAAAATATATTTAGATTTGTTTAACACTTTTTTGGTTACTACATGATTCCATATGTGTTATTTCATGTTTTGATGTCTTCAATATTATTCTACAATGTAGAAAATAGTAAAAATAAAGAAAAACCCTTGAATGAGTAGGTGTGTCCAAACTTTTGACTGGTACTGTATATCTAACAACCATTATTTTTCCCTATGTAGATTCCCCCAGAAATATCAGTATCTCAGAGAACACTCTGGTGAATATCGGAGACAGTTTTACACTGACGTGTCGTGCTGAGGGGAACCCTGAACCTTCAGTGTTGTGGAGAAGACTGGACCAAGATGGCCACTCAGTCGTGGCAGGAGAGGGTGCGACCCTATTGGTGGAAGAGGCGACATGGTCCCACGGTGGAGAGTATGAATGCATGGCCCACAACGTCATAGGAAACCGTACAGCTCACATGACTGTTAATGTTCAAGGTGAGTCAAACTTTATCAGCTTGTGGTTTGTCGTCTTAAAAGGTATACCCCATTGCGATCCCATTGTAGTTGACAAATACTGACTGTAAAATAAATACTAAATAATAACAAAGAAAGATTATAATTCATAAGGACAAAAAAAGCGTGCTTAATATTGTGTCAACTTTGGAACCATGAAGATGCCCTTGGAAATCAACTAGTTAATTTTACTTTGTGAAATACCTCATGAACATGGTGTACTATCATTATTATTCACATTTTATGTTGACATTTTTGTATTTAAATAACTTATTTGATATATTTATGATTATGTTACTCATTGCCCCTGGCAGGTCCTCCAGAGAAGCCTGTTCTTTATCTGAGCCCATCTGGTGAGCTGAAAGCGGGGGACAGTGTGACCATTATCTGCCAATCAGAGAGCGGGCCGCAGGGGTGCGTGGCACTACGCCAGGTGACCGGCAGTCAGGGGGCGGAGCTACAGTCCAACCAGGGCCACACCTCCATCACTGTCCAATCGCTGACAGCTAGAGACTCGGGACTGTACGAATGTCAGGCTACCAATCCCTATGGGAAACAGACATCTTCCATCAACGTCACAGTCAGAGATGAGCTTTATACAGAGAACCAGAGAACCAGTAAGATTGTTGCATCAATGACAGTTCAATGTAAGTACATTTCTGTCAAGAGTTGTTCAATCATTCTCATTAGACAATGTTTTAAATACAATTGTGGTACAAGTTAAAGAGGCTATAGAAATCTTTTGCCTCTGGGGTGTTCTCGAGCCAAAAAGAGTCCCCTAAATGGACAGAAATATTGTCCAGGAATTACCTCGTTGGACAAAAAGGAGCACACCCATGAGAAACATAATACAGTGTTTGCCTAAAACTAAGGGTTTGTTTAATATAATGTCATAGGTACACTACCGGTCCAAAGTTTTAGAACACCTACTCATTCAAGGGTTTTTCTTTATTTTTACTATTTTCTACATTGTAGAATAATAGTGAAGACATCAAAACTATGAAATAACACATATGGAATCATGTAGTACCGAAACAAGTGTTAAACAAACCTAAATATATTTTATATTTGAGATTCTTCAAATAGCCACCCTTTCTTTGATGACAGCTTTGCACACTCTTGGCATTCTCTCAACCAGCTTCATGAGGTAGTCACCTGGAATGCATTTCAATTAACAGGTGTGCCTTCTTAAAAGTTAATTTGTGGAATTTATTTCTTTAATGCGTTTGAGCCATTCAGTTGTGTTGTGACAAGGTAGGGGGGTATACAGAAGATAGCCCTATTTGGTAAAAGAACAAGTCCATATTATGGCAAGAACTGCTCAAATAAGCAAAGAGAAACTACAATCCATCATTACTTTAAGACATGAAGGTCAGTCAATACGGAACATTTCAAGAACTTTGAAAGTTTCTTCAAGTGCAGTTGCAAAAACCATCAAGTGCTATGATGAAACTGGCTCTCATGAGGACCGCCACAGGAAAGGAAGACCCAGAGTTACCTCTGCTGCTGAGGATAAGTTCATTAGAGTTACCAGCCTCAGAAATTGCAGCCCAAATAAATTCTTCAGAGTTCAAGTAACATACACATCAACTCTTCAGAGGAGACTGTGTGAATCAGGCCTTCATGGTCGAATTGCTGCAAAGAAACCACTACTAATGGACACCAATAAGAAAAAGAGACTTGCTTGGGCCAAGAAACACGAGCAATGGACATTAGACCGGTGGAAATGTGTCCTTTGGTCTGGAGTCCAAATTTGAGATTTTTGGTTCCAACCGGCGTGTCTTTGTGAGACACGGTGTGGGTGAACGGATGATCTCCGCATGTGTATTTCCCACCGTAAAGGATGGAGGAGGAGGTGTTATGGCATGGGGGTGCTTTGCTGGTGACTCTGAATTATTTAGAATTCAAGGCACACTTAACCAGCATGGCTACCACAGCATTCTGCAGCGATACGCCATCCCATCTGGTTTGGGCTTAGTGGGACTATCATTTGTTTTTCAACAGAACAATGACCCAACACACCTCCAGGCTGTGTAAGGGCTATTTTACCAAGAAGGAGAGTGATAGAGTGCTGCATCAGATGACCTGGCCTCCACAATCCCCAGACCTCAACCAAATTGAGATGGTTTGGTATGAGTCGGACCGCAGGGGAAAAGCATTCAACAAGTGCTCAGCATATGTGGGAACTCCTTCAAGACTGTTGGAAAAGCATTCCAGGTGAAGCTGGTTGAGAGAATGCCAAGAGTGTGCAAAGCTGTCATCAAGGCAAAGGGTGGCTATTTGAAGAATCTCAAATATAAAATATATTTTTATTTGTTTAACACTTTTTTGGTTACTACATGATTCCATATGTGTTATTTCATAGTTTTGATGTCTTCACTATTATTCTACAATGTAGAAAATTGTAAAAAAAATAAAGAAAAACCCTTGAATGAGTAGGTGTTCTAAAACTTTTGTCCAGTAAAAAGGCACATGACAGCCTGCTTGGAGTTTGCCAAAAGGCACCTAAAGACTCTCAGACCATGAGAAACAAGATTCTCTGATCTGATGAAACCAAGATTGAACTCTTTTGCCTGAATGCCAAGCGTCTCGTCTTGAGGAAACCTGGCATCATCCCTACGGATCATGCTATGGGGATGTTTTTCAACGGCAGGGACTGGGACACTAGTCAGGATCGAGGCAAAGATGAACAGAGCAAAGTACAGAGAGATCCTTGATGAAAACTTGCTCCAGAGCTCTCAGGGCCTCAGACTGGGGCTTAGGTTCACCTTCCAACAGGACAACGACCCTTAGCACACAGCCAAGATAACGCAGGAGTGGCTTCAGGACAAGTCTCTGTATGTCGTTGAGTGGCCCAGCCAGAGCCCGGTCTTGAACCCGATCGAACATCTTGGGAGAGACCTGAAAATAGCTGTGCAGCAACGCTCCCCATTCAACCTGACAGAACTTGAGAGGATCTGCACAGAAGAATGAGAGAAACTCCCCAAATACAGGTGTGCCTAGCTTGTGGCGTCATACCCAAGAAGACTCGCTGCTTTAATCGCTGCCAAAGGTGCTTCAACAAAGTACTGAGTAAAGGGTCTGAATACTTATGTAAATGTCAAATTTGTAAAAACACCGTTTTTGCTTTGTCATTATGGGGTATTGTGTGTAGATTGATGAGGGGAAAAAACTATTTCATCAATTTTAGAATAAGGCTGAAACCGAACAAAATGTGGACAAAGTCAATGGGTCTAAATACTTTCCGAATGCATTGTAGCTAGGTGAGACAACCACATATCACAGCCATAGTATGCACTTTTTTTCTCAATAAAAAAGTTATCAGCAAAGTCAGTGCTATTAGGAAAACAGTTATATTCTGGTTATTTGACCAGATAACAACTAGAATATGACGTCTTCAACTGGTTGTAATGTTATATGACGTCTTTTCAACCATATAATCAGTTTCCAACTAGAATATGACGTTATTACGACATCACGTGCCAAATCTGATTCAGAGAGGTTGGGTTAAATGCGGAAGACACATTTTCTGTTGAATGTAGTATTCAGTTGTACAACTGACTAGATATCCCCCTTTCCCTTTCCAACCCAGAGGCTATGTGTATATATTGTTTCTATAGGAAACAAACGACAATCCTTCATTTCAATTTTCTACTTTTCTTTCTCCCTGAAGCACCACCCACAAACCTGTCCGTGGAGGTGTTCCCGTCTGCTGAGTTTGAGGAGGGGCAGAATGTGACCATCTGGAGCCAGGCTGTGGGCATCCCCGCCCCCTCTGGCCACCCTGATGAGGCTGCGGGACGGGGTGGAGCTGCACTCCTCTGACGGGACCTTCCACCTGGTCCACCTGGGCCCGGAGCACGCAGGGCTCTACCTGCTCAACGTCACCAATGTAGTGGGACACCAGAGCCTCAGCTTCAGCCTCAGCATCCAGGGTGAGACCACTGAGATATACTCACACAAAAACATGCGCGCACACAGACACTCTCTCTCACACACACACACACACACACACTCACGGTTTATATGCATCATTGACACACACATAAAACAATTTTTTTGTCACATACACCAGATAGGTGCAGTGAAATGTATTGTTTTACAGGGTCAGCCATAGCAGTACAGCGCCCCTGGAGCAAATTAGGGTTAAGTGCCTTGCTCAAGAGCACATCGACAGATTTTTCACCTTATTGGCTTGGGTATTTTAACCTGCAACCTTTCGGTTATTGGCCTAATGCACTAACCACTAGGATACACATATAAAGCATCTGAATGTACACCAAGACCCAGGCATCGCCACAAACCACACAGCTCAAGTTGTACCCATGTACAAGCTCTTACACACTGAACAAAAATATCAACGCAACATACAACAATTTCAAAGATTTGACTGAGTTACAGTTCATATAAGGAAATCAGTCAATTGAAATAAATTCATTAGGCCCTAATGATTTCACAGATATGCATCTGTTGGTCACAGATACAGTACCTGTCAAAGGTTTGGACACACCTACTCATTCAAGGGTTTTTCTTTATTTTTACTATTTTCTACATTGTAGAATAATAGTGAAGACATCAAAACTATGAAATAACACATATGGAATCATGTAGTAACCAAAAAAGTGTTAAACAAATCAAAATATATTTTATATTTGAGATTCTTCAAATAGCCACCCTTTGCCTTGATGACAGCTTTGCACACTCTTGGCATTCTCTCAACCAGCTTCACCTGGAATGCTTTTCCAACAGTCTTGAAGGAGTTCCCACATATGCTGAGCACTTGTTGGCTGTTTTTCCTTCACTCTGCGGTCCGACTCATCCCAAACTATCTCAATTGGGTTGAGGTCGGGGGATTGTGGAGGCCAGGTCATCTGATGCAGCACTCCATCACTCTCCTTCTTGGTCAAATAGCCCTTACACAGCCTGGAGGTGTGTTGGGTCATTGTTCTGTTGAAAAACAAGTGATAGTCCCACTAAGCCCAAACCAGATGGGATGGCGTATCGCCTGCGAGGTGGTAGCCATCACCTTATTGGCTTGGGTATTTTACCTGCACCTTTCGGTTATTGGCCTAATGCTTAACCACTAGGATACACTACAGTGGGGGGAAAAGTATTTAGTCAGCCACCATTGTGATGTTCTCCCACTTAAAAAGATGAGAGAGGCTGTAATTTCATCATAGGTACCGTCAACTATGACAGACAAATGAGAGAAAAAAAATTCCAGAAAATTCCATTGTAGGATTTTTAATGAATTTATTTGCAAATTATGGTGGAAAATAAGTATTTGGTCAATAACAAAAGTTTCTCAATACTTTGTTATATACCCTTTGTTGGCAATGACACAGGTCAAACGTTTTCTGTAAGTCTTCACAAGGTTTTCACACACTGTTGCTGGTATTTTGGCCCATTCCTCCATGCAGATCTCCTCTAGAGCAGTGATGTTTTGGGGCTGTTGCTGGGCAACACGGACTTTCAACTCCCTCCAAAGATTTTCTATGGGGGTTGAGATCTGGAGACTGGCTAGGCCACTCCAGGACCTTGAAATGCTTCTTACGAAGCCACTCCTTCGTTGCCCGGGCGGTATGTTTGGGATCATTGTCATGCTGAAAGACCCAGCCACGTTTCATCTTCAATGCCCTTGCTGATGGAAGGAGGTTTTCACTCAAAATCTCACGATACATGGCCCCATTCATTCTTTCCTTTACACGGATCAGTCATCCTTGTCCCTTTGAAGAAAAACAGCCCCAAAGCATGATGTTTCCACCCCCATGCTTCACAGTAGGTATGGTGTTCTTTGGATGCAACTCAGCATTCTTTGTCCTCCAAACACGACGAGTTGAGTTTTTACCAAAAAGTTATATTTTGGTTTCATCTGACCATATGACATTCTCCCAATCCTCTTCTGGATCATCCAAATGCACTCTAGCAAACTTCAGACGGGCCTGGACATGTACTGGCTTAAGCAGGGGGACACGTCTGGCACTGCAGGATTTGAGTCCCTGGCGGCGTAGTGTGTTACTGATGGTAGGCTTTGTTAATTTGGTCCCAGCTCTCTGCAGGTCATTCACTAGGTCCCCCCGTGTGGTTCTGGGATTTTTGCTCACCGTTCTTGTGATCATTTTGACCCCACGGGGTGAGATCTTGGGAGATTATCAGTGGTCTTGTATGTCTTCCATTTCCTAATAATTGCTCCCACAGTTGATTTCTTCAAACCAAGCTGCTTACCTATTGCAGATTCAGTCTTCCCAGCCTGGTGCAGGTCTACAATTTTGTTTCTGGTGTCCTTTGACAGCTCTTTGGTCTTGGCCATAGTGGAGTTTGGAGTGTGACTGTTTGAGGTTGTGGACAGGTGTCTTTTATACTGATAACAAGTTCAAACAGGTGCCATTAATACAGGTAACGAGTGGAGGACAGAGGAAGAAGTTACAGGTCTGTGAGAGCCAGAAATCTTGCTTGTTTGTAGGTGACCAAATACTTATTTTCCACCATAATTTGCAAATAAATTCATTAAAAATCATACAATGTGATTTTCAGGATTTTTTTTTCTCAATTTGTCTGTCATAGTTGACGTGCACCTATGATGAAAATTACAGGCCTCTCTCATCTTTTTAAGTGGGAGAACTTGCACAATTGGTGGCTGACTAAATACTTTTTTCCCCCACTGTATAAAGCATCTGAATGTACACCAAGACCCAGGCATCGCTACAAACCACACACCTCAAGTTGTACCCATGTACAAGCTCTTACACACTGAACAAAAATATAAACGCAACATACAACAATTTCAAAGATTTGACTGAGTTACAGTTCATATAAGGAAATCAGTCAATTGAAATAAATTCATTAGGCCCTAATGATTTCACAGATATGCATCTGTTGGTCACAGATACAGTACCTGTCAAAGGTTTGGACACCCTACTCATTCCAAGGGTTTTTCTTTATTTTTACTATTTTCTACATTGTAGAATAATAGTGAAGACATCAAAACTATGAAATAACACATATGGAATCATTGTAGTAACCAAAAAAAGTGTTTTTTGTTAAACAAATCAAAATATATGGTTATATTTGAGCTTCTTTCAAAAAAGACCCCCCTTTCCTTTATGACAGCTTTGCACACTCTTGGCATTCTGGTGGGTCATGTTCATGTGAAACCATATTTGATATCATAAGAAACCCAAAGGTTGAGCGACTGCAAATGACGTGGTAGGCATGCGGTTAGGTGTGAAATCTAAATAAATTATGCTGAGCAAAGCCCCACAGTAACATCCCTGCACAGTACACATGCAGAGTCACGCTCCCTCAAAGCGTTCAAAAACTCTGGCTGGTTGGTACCAAAAATCTGCCAATTTTGGACTCCCACCAAGGTACACTTTCACCGGTCTAATATCCATTGTCTGTGTTTTGGCCAAGCAGGTCTCTTCTTTATTGGTGTCCTTTAGTAGTGGGTTCTTTGCAGCAATTCGACCACGAAGGCCTGATTCACATAGTCCCCTCTGAACAGTTGATGTTGAGATGTGTCTGTTACTTGACCTCTGTGAAGCATTTATTTGGGCTGCAATTTCTGAGGCTGGTAACTCTAATGAACTTATCCTCTGCAGCAGAGGTAACTCTGGGTCTTCCATTCCTGTGGTGGTCCTCATGAGAGCCAGTTTCATCATAGCGCTTGATGGTTTTTGTGACTGCACTTGAAGAAAACTTTCAAAGTTCTTGAAATGTTCCGTATTGACTGACCTTCATGTCTTAAAGTAATGATGAATTGTCATTTCTCTTTGATTATTTGAGCTGTTCTTGCCATAATATGGACTTGGTCTTTTACCAAATAGGGCTATCTTCTGTATACCCCCCCACCTTTTCACAACACAACTGATTGGCTCAAACACAATAAGGAATAAAATTCCACAATATAACTTTTAAGAAGGCACACCTGTTAATTGAAATGCATTCAAGGTGACTACCTCATGAAGCTGGTTGAGAGAATGCCAAGAGTGTGCAAAGCTGTCATCAAAGCAAAGGGTGGCTATTTGAAGAATCTCAAATAAAAATATATTTGATTTGTTTAACACTTTTTTGGTTACTACATGATTCAATATGTGTTATTTCATAGTTTTGATGTCTTCACTATTATTCGGTCCTTAAATAATTGGAATCGGTTCTTAGGTGCATTCATTGCATGATAATGGAATTGTGTTCATTATCGTAATTATCATGGCATAGGGGCAGTACTCATCAGAAGTGGACCCATCTGTATATAGCAGTGCGACTTAGCAAATTCTCCAAATGACGTTGGAGGCGGCTTATGGTAGAGAAATGAAACAGTTAAATTATCTGGCAACAGCTCTAGTGGACATCCCTGCAGTCAGCATGCCAATTGAACGCTCCCTCAAAACTTAAAACCTCTGTGGCATTGTGTTGTGTCACAAAACTGCCCATTTTAGAGTGTCCCCAGCACAAGGTGCACCTGTGTAATAATCATGCTGTTTATTAATCTTCTTGATATGCCACACTTGTCAGGTGAATGGATTGTATTGGCAAAGGATAAATGCTCACTAACAGGGATGTAAACAGATTTGTGCACAACATTTTAGAGAAATATGCTTTTTGTGCGAATGGAACATTTCTGGGATCTTTTATTTCAGCGAATGGAACAATTTAAATGTTGCGTTCATATTTTTGTTCAGTGTACATACAAACATACAACCCCAAAAAAATCACTTCTCTTTTTCTGACTTTGCTGACTTTGCTGATAACTACTTTAAGGGACAATTGTGATATGCTCACCCAGCTATCTTAAGATGAATGCACTAACTGTATGTCGCTCTGGATAAGAGCGTCGGCTAAAAGACTCAAATGTAAAGATGACAGACTTAAGAGTGAACTGAGACATAGAGTAATGTTTGAAAAATGGATATGGAGTCTGCTAACTTTAAATCTCATCCTTTCCAGATAAATCCGCCAGTCCAAAGACCGTCATCATACCTGCCGTGTGCTCCGTTTCCATCGTGACCGCGGCAACGATTATGATACAGTTCCTGAGGAGAGCAAGCAAGACAAGTTCATATGAACTTGCAAGGACAGTTTAGACCCCGCACTATAGCGATGAACTTCCGCGATACGGATTGTATCGAGACCCATGTGATTTGTTTATGTGTGTTCTCTACTGGCGGATGTACAAAGCCATGAACATAACTGATGATTCCACAGATTATGACTTATATCATCTGATAATACTTAATTAGTCAACCACCAGCTCAGGGCATTGTGTCTCTGCAGCTCTTTCACTGGAGTTTATATTATTGCTGTACATACTGATTTGTTTAAGTTCTCATGAGGGGGTCCAGAGTTTTATGTAATGTTTTTTATGTGAATCAGTAATGATGAATCAATATGTTTTGTACAGATTTATTGTAATAAAGATGACAATGAAAGGTTTGTTTGAAAAGACACTCACAGTGATTTAGATAAGAGTTGGAGAACGGGGAAGGAGCAATGAAAAGTGTCATTCTGCCAAACAACAGAGCACACGAAGACAAAATAGACCTGACTGAGGATATGGTCACTCCATATCAAAGAAACCATCTCAGAAACAATGGGACTCATGGTCTGCCAACTCTTCTGGGAAGTGTGAGACTGATCTTCCATTTACATTTACATTTACATTTCAGTCATTTAGCAGACGCTCTTATCCAGAGCGACTTACATGAGCAATTAGGGTTAAGTGCCTTGCTCAAGGGCACATCGACAGATTCTTCACCTAGTCGGCTCTGGGGATTAGAACCAGCGACCTTTCGGTTACTGGCACAACGCTCTTAACCACTAAGCTACCTGCCGCCCATATTTATTTATTTTTTCCAAATCAAATCTTATTTGCCACATGCGCCAAATACAACAGTGAAACAGTGAAATGCTTACTTACAAGCCCTTAACCAACAATGCAATTTTTTAAGAAAATACAAAAAAGTGTTAAGTAGAAAATAATTAAAGAGCAGCAGTAAAATAAAATAACAGTAGGGAGGCTATATACAGGGGGTACCGGTACAGAGTCAATGTGCGGGGGCACCGGTTAGTCATGGTAATTGAGGTAATATGTACATGTGGGTAGCAGCAGCGTAAAAGAGGGGGAACAATGCAAATAGTCCAGGTAGCCATGATTAGCTGTTCAGGAGTCTTATGGCTTGGGGGTAGAAGCTGTTAAGAAGCCTTTTGGACCAAGACTTGGCGCTCCGGTACCACTTGCCGTGCGGTAGCAGAGAGAACAGTCTATGACTAGGGTGGCTGGAGTCTTTGACCATTTTTAGAGCCTTCCTCTGACACCGCCTGGTATAGAGGTCCTGGGTGGCAGGATGGCCCCTCATGATGCCATCAATTTTGTGAAGTGCACCAGTCCTTCCTGCAGCAAAGCACCCCCACAGCATGATGCTGCCACCCCCATGCTTCACGGTTGGGATGGTGTTCTTCGGCTTGCAAGCAACCCCCTTTTTCCTCCAAACATAACAATGGTCATTATGGCCAAACAGTTCTATTTTTGTTTCATCAGACCAGAGGACATTTCTCCAAAAAGTACGATCTTTGACCCCATGTGCAGTTGCAAACCGTAGTCTGGCTTTTTTATGGCGGTTTTGGAGCAGTGGCTCTTCCTTGCTGAGCGGCCTTTCAGGTTATGTCGATATAGGACTCGTTTTACTGTGGATATAAATACTTTTGTACCTGTTTTCTCCAGCATCTTCACAAGGTCCTTTACTGTTGTTCTGGGATAGATTTGCACTTTTCGCACCAAAGTACATTCATCTCTAGGAGACAGAACGCGTCTCCTTCCTGAGCGATATGACGGCTACGTGGTCCCATGGTGTTTATACTGGCGTACTATTGTTTGTACAGATTAACGTGGTACCTTCAGGCGTTTGGAAATTGCTCCCAAGGATGAACCAGACTTGTGGAGGTCTACCATTTTTTTCTGAGGTCTTGGCTGATTTCTTTTGATTTTCCCATGATGTCAAGCAAAGAGGCACTGAGTTTGAAGGTAGGCCTTGAAATACATCCACAGGTACACCTCCAATTGACTCAAATTATGTCAATTAGCCTATCAGAAGTTTCTAAAGCCATGACATCATTTTCTGGAATTTTCCAAGCTGTTTAAAGGCACAGTCAACTTAGTGTATGTAAACTTCTGACCCACTGGAATTGTGATACAGTGAATTATAAGTGAAATAATCTGTCTGTAAACAATTGTTGGAAAAATTACTTGTGTCATGCAAAGTACATGTCCTAACCGACTTGCCAAAACTATAGTTTGTTAACAAGAAATTTGTGGAGTGGTTGAAAAACAAGTTTTAATGACTCCAACCTAAGTGTATGTAAACTTCTGACTTCAACTGTATGTAAATAAGGTATTTGTTTTTTCTTTTTAATAAATTTGCAAAGAAATCTAAAAACCAGTTTTCACTTCGTCATTATGGGTTATTGTGTGTAGATTGATGAGGAATTTTGTTTAATTTAATCAATTTTAGAATAAGGCTGTAACATAACAAAATGTGGAAAAGGTCAAGGGGTCTAAATACTTTCCCGAATGCGCTCCTGTCAGAAGTCATCAGATATCTTTGCTGTGACTAGTAGATCTGTGTGTCAGGATGTGTTTGTGTGTGTGTGTGTGTCAGGGTGATTGTGTGTTTAGCATTTCCTCTACTGGATAGAATCAGCCTGGTCATAAACCAACCGGTGAGTGAGGTCTTCTAATCCAGGCACCGGCACTCAACTGGTTAACTGTTCAAAACAAAAACATTCTTCCTTTTTGTTTGATGCAAGTTCCTCCTGAAAATGTGAACATATTCCCCGCCAATACAAACACTATTTTGTAAACCATGCAATGTGGTCGATGAATATCGGTCGTATTCTTCAGGCACCCAGCAATAACAAAAAAGGACTGGAACAGGAAGGGGCTAGTTGGACTTTGGAGCTGAAACATAACAAACCCACTTCCAATAGACCGGAGTCCAGTTTCCTCATACGTGCCTCAACCCAGAGAAGAAAGGATGATTACAAATATAAAAAAGACTGAACTAAAATGGTCCATTTAGGCCTGGGGATTTCCAGAACTAAACCAGCGTTTCGTTTTGATTATTCCTCCTGGGAGCCATTAGACCACTATCCAATCAGAATCACAGCCTGGCCTGTTCAAAATAGTGCCATGTAAAGAGAATGTTCAGATAGCCAGCCCTGAAGGGACCAGCTGCTTGTCTAACAGAATAGTCCATATGCTGACGTAAACCTTCTTATTTTTATAACATTAAAAAAAAGATTACAAAATGTATATTAAAGCCTTTAATTGTTGCACAGCACATCAACCTCAAAGAACCCAACCCAAACTAATGATTTGCAACATAGCTCTAACAACAAACAGCCAAAATCATAACAAAACAACAAAAACAAAATCAATGAGAGAATAAATGTTCCAGTGATCTACATGTCATGTAGAAAAGAAACAAACGGCAAAATGATGCATCGTTGAGATACACCATAGTAGATTTTTGGCAGACAAACCATTTTAAAGGCAGATGATATGAAATCTGATAGAAAGACAAACAGTTTGGAGGGACAGCCTTTTTCAATGCATCACAATTTCAGGCTCTAAGGCAACAGAAATGGTAAAAGAGAAGATACTTGCTACAAGTCCTGTAGATATTCACCCTGAAACAGTCATGTCAGGGAGGCAGTCGCCAGAAACAGCACCAGTTTCCACCAGAGCAAAGTCAGCGCAATATTCACATAATTCCAGTAAGTACCGTTTAACACTGCAAAGTTTCAGCCGAGCAAGAGCAGAGAGCATCCATTATTCAAGTCCTGACATTGTAATAATGTTTAACACCAGTAGATTTAAAATGTTCACTTGACCTTCAAACATTCAAATGCATCTCAGAATCAAAGGAATATTCTCAGTTGTCTGCGATTGTATGAGCACCTGTGTGTGTGTCTCATCACATTTAATCATTCATCATATACACATCTGAATCCCTGACAAGTTAAGTACAGACACAAAGTAAGGCAAAAGTCCAATTAGACTTTTGAACAGTTACAGTACTGTTCATGCCCTGTGCAAATGTGCATATTGCAATGCTTACATCTGCTGGCGGTAAAAGCAATTGCACTAACTAAAGTCTATACAGTGCCATGTAATATCCTGTGATTTTGGCAACAGCAAAAGTCCTCTGGTTGGACCATCTGCCGTGTTGTCGGTGTTTGGTCCTGGAGGTAACATCTCAGAGATCTAGTCCTGATGAGGTCATAATAAGGAATCCTTTCTCTCTCCTACAAAAAGACAGAGAGAACCCTACTTTAGGGTATCCCAAAAACCTAACCATTACCCAACCAGAATCCTCACATTTTAGTGTTAATCCTCTTTAACGCATTGTGTTACACAATCCTACATACTTAATTTCAGCTGTACAATACTAACCCAACCATTCTATTCCATAAACCTTGGCTTGCAATCTACTCTGTATCCCCACCCAAAACTCCTCACCCAATCAAATCGTCATCCCCTTACCCTGTCACATCCCAACACCTATACATTGACCAACCTGAATGTCCGCTGTGTTCGCCACCTGTCAATGCCAGTCCGCGCCCCCCTGTGCCAGTCAGCCCCTGCTCTTGTGGTTGGCATAGCTTGGGAAGCCAAACTGGCACAGCATCATGTTAGAGTACCTCAGGGGCATCGCGCCGTAGATCTGTGCCAGCCGGTTCAGGCAGTAAGAGCGCTGGAGCAAGTGTTCGGGACGGTGCCACATGCCTAGGTACCCGCTGCTGGCGTCCCTCTCCAGGTTGCGCATATCCACAGGCTTCACGAAGATGCCAGAGGGTCTACTTTTTATGGCCTCGGAACCTCGCTGTAGCTCCGCCGCCACGGCAAAGTTCATGGCGATGTCGTCGCAGTTCTGCGTGTCGTCCACCAGGGCGTGCACCTCTGGCGGCTGCTCCTGGAAGAGCTGCAGGTAGCGGCGGTGGAAGAAGGCGGCGCCGATCAGCACCATGGAGTACCTGTAGCGGTGTTGAAAGCAGGGCCCAACATTCTGATTGTTTTAAAAATGCATCAGGGTGCAAGACACAGATGAACATGTTTAGAGCTACAGTGTCAACACGTAGACATTCAATGTCTAGATATGTCAAACATTTCTATACCCCATAAGGGTTGCAGTTATAGTGTCTTCAGAAAGTATTCACACCCCCTTGACGTATTCCACATTTTGTGGTGTTACAGCCTGAATTCAAAATGGATTACATAGATTTTTTTCCCCACATAATACCAAAGTGAAAACATGTTTTTACATAATAAGTATTCACACCCCTGAATCACCTTTGGCAGCGATTACAGCTGTGCTTCTTTCTGGATAAGTCCAAGAGCTTTGCACACCTGGATTGTACAATATTTGCCCATTATTCTTTTCAAAATTCTTCAAGCTCTTTCAAATTGATTGTTGATCATTGCTAGCCAACCAATGCCATAGCTTTTCAAGACGATTTAAGTCAAAACTGTAACTAGGCCACACAGGAACATTCAATGTCGTCTTGGTGAGCAACTCCAGTGTAGATTTGGCCTTGTGTTTAAGGTTCATGTCCTGCTGAAAGATGAATTCATCTCCCAGTGTCTGTTGGAAAGCAGACAGAACCAAGTTCTCCTCTAGGATTTTGCCTGTCCTTAGCTCTATTTAAATGTATTTTTATCCTAAAAAAACCGTCCTAGTCCTTGCCGATGACAAGCATACCCATAATATGATGCAGCCACCACCATGCTTGAAAATATGGAATGGTACTCAGTGATGTGTTGTGTTGGATTTGCCCCAAACATAACACTGTGTATTCAGGACATAAAGTTCATTTCTTAGTCACATTTATCGGCATTACTTTAGTGCCTTGTTGCAAACAGGATGCATGTTTTAGAATATTTTATTTATGTACAGGCTTCCTTCTTTTCACTCTGTCATTTAGGTTAGTATTGTGGTGTAACTACAATGTTGTTGATCCATCCTCAGTTTTCTCCCATCACAGCCATGAAACTATGTAACTGTTTTAAAGTCACCATTGGTGAAATCCCTGAGCGGTTTCCTTCCTCTCTGGCAACTGTTAGGAAGCACGCCTGTATCTTTGTAGTGACTGGGTGTATTGATACAACATCCAAAGTGTAATGAATAACTTCACCATGCTCAAAGGGATATTCAATGTCTGCTTTTTTTTTTTTTTTTTAACCCATCTACCAATAGATAGGTGCCATTCTTTGCGAGGCATTGGAAAACCTCCCTGGTCTTTGTGGTTGAATCTGTGTTTCAAATTCACTGCTCGACTGAGGAACCTTACAGATAATTGTATGTGTGGGGTACATTTTACTTTTAAACTTGGACAAAACAGAGATGCTAGTTCTAGGTCCCAAGAAACAAAGAGATCTGCTGTTTGATCTGACAATTCATCTTGATGGCTGTTCAGTCGTCTCAAATAAAACTGTGAAGGACCTCGGCGTTACTCTGGACCCTGATCTCTCTTTTGACAAACATATCAAGAATATTTCAAGGACAGCCTTTTTCCATCTTCGTAACATTGCAAAAATCTGAAATGTTTTGTCCAAAAATGATCCAGAAGAGCTAATCCATGCTTTTGTCACTTCTAGATTAGACTACTGCAATGCTCTACTCTCCGGCTACCCGGATAAAGCACTGAATAAACTTAAGTTAGTGCTAAACATACTTGATCATACTACTCCGGTGCTAGTCTCTCTACATTGGCTTCCTGTTAAGGCTAGGGCTGATTTCAAGGTTTTACTGCTAACCTACAAAGCATTACATGGGCTTGCTCCTACCTATCTCTCCGATTTGGTCCTGCCGTACATACCTACACGTACACTACGGTTACAAGACGCAGGCCTCCTTATTGTCCCTAGAACTTCTAAGCAAACAACAGGAGGCAGGGCTTTCTCCTATAGAGCTCAATTTTTATGGAATGGTCTGCCTATGCATGTGAGAGACGCAGACTCGGTCTCAACCTTTAAGTCTTTACCTCTCTTCAGTAGGTCCTATGATTGAGTGTAGTCTGGCCCAGGGGTGCGAAGGTGAACGGCAAGGCACTGGAGAGACGAACCACCCTTGCTGTCTCTGCCTGGCTGGCTCCCCTCTCTCCACTGGGATTCTCTGCCTCTGACCCTATTACGAGGGCTGAGTCACTGGCTTACTAGTGCTCTTCCATGCCGTCCCTAGGAGGTGCGCGTCACTTGAGTGGGTTGAGTCACAGACGTGTTCTTCCTGTCCGGTTTTGCGCCCTCTCAGGCTTGTGCGGTGGAAGGAGATCTTCGTGGGCTATACTCAGCCTTGTCTCAGGGTAGTAAATTGGTGGTCTGTTGATATCCCTCTAGTGGTGTGGGGGCTGTGCTTTGGCAAAGTGGGTGGGGTTATATCGTGCCTGGTTGGCCCTGTCCGGGGGTATTGTCGGACGGGGCCACAGTGTCCCCCGATACACCCGTCTCAGCCTCCAGTATCTATGCTGCAATAGTCTATGTGCCGGGGGGCTAGGGTCAGTCTGTTATATCTGGTGTAATTCTCCTGTCTTATCTGGTGTCCTGTGTGAATTTAAGTATGCTCCCGCTAATTCTCTCTCTCTCACTCCCCTCCCGGAGGACCTGAGACCTAGGATCAGGACTACCTGGCCTGATGACTCCTGGCTGTCCCCAGTCCACCTGGTCGTGTTGCTGCTCCAGTTTCAACTGTTCTGCCTGCGGCTAGGGAACCCTGACCTGTTCACCCGACGTGCTACCTTGTCCTGCTGTTTTCGACTCTCTCTCTCTTCCGCACCTGCTGTCTCAACCTCTGAATGCTCGGCTATGAAAAGCCAACTGACATTTACTCCTGAGGTACTGACCTGTTGCACCCTCCACAACCACTGTGATTATTATTTGACCCTGCTGGTCATCTATGAATGTTTGATCATATTGAAGAACAATCTGGCCTTAAATTGCCATGTACTCTTATAATCTCCACCCGGCACAGCCAGAAGAGGACTGGCCACCCCTCAGAGCCTGGCTCCTCTCTAGGTTTCTTCCTAGGTTCCTGCCTTTCTAGGGAGTTTTTCCTAGCCACCGTGCTTCTACATCTGCATTGCTTGCTGTTTGGGGTTTTAGGCTGGGTTTCTGTATAGCACTTTGTGACATCTGCTGATGTAAAATGGCCTTTATAAATACATTTGATTGATTGATTAAAAAAATAATGTTAAACACTATTACTGAACACAGAGTGAGTCTATGCAAGTTATGATGTGGCTTGTTAAGCACATTTTTACTCCTGAATTTATTTAGGCTTGCTATAACAAAGGGGTTGAATACTTATTGACTCAAAACATTTCAGCTTTTCGTTTTTAATTAATTCGTAAAAAAACTCTAAAAACATAATTCCACTTTGACATTATGGGATATTGTGTGTAGGCCAGTGACACATCTCAATTTAATCCATTTTAAATTCAGGCTGTAACACAACAAAATGTGGGAAAAAGTCAAGGGGTGTGAATACTTTCTGAGGGCACTGTACCTGTCACCTCCTCCCATCTCTGGGTCCTGGAGTTCAAAGCTGCCGTAGCTGTAGACCCCCGTCACCGTGGTAACATGTTTACGGGGCACGAATCCAACTATCTGATCTGGGAATTGCTGTTGAGAGGATGAGAGTAGGGGACTACATTGAGGAACATTCCAATAGTAATTCAGTAATAGGCTATTATGTAGAATGGGCAATCATCTCCCTGACGGATCAATGTTAGTGTGACGGGTTTTAGACGCCGAAGGACCTCAATGGAATTCCATAATAATGCCAGCTCTTTATGGCATTTCTATCTGTAACGTTCGGTTATGCTGCACCATCCTGAACGCATCCCCTGATTACTGATATCTTCTATACAGTGTATTGTTGGAAGTACATACCTTCCACACAGAGAAGGCAAAACTGATATCTGGAACGCTGACCAACGTGTCATCGTCCAGCATCAACACAGCTGAGGAGAGAAGTTGAACACAGAGTATTACCATTAGATGATTAAATACTTCCTAAAACAGCGTTGTTGTGCCTGTATACCCGACTGTCCAAAGGAGATGAGGAGAGTGTCTGTCAGTCAGTCAGTCTGTGTCACAGTGGAGGCTGCTGAGGGGAGGACGGCTCATAATGGCTGGAATGGAGTCAATGGAATGGTATCAACCACATGGAAACCACATCTTTGATGTATTTGATACCATTCCATTGACTCCATTGCAGCCATTATTATGAGCGGTGCTTCTCTCAGCAGCCTCCACTGGTCTGTCTGTCTGTGTCTTTCTTCCACACTCACACCTCACCCGTCGGTATCTATCTCGGATGAATGGCTAAGTGAGGTAGACACTTTGGAAAGCCACCTTAACGCCATCTCTGTCTCTCTGTCTGACCCTCTTATTCACTCACTCACACCTCACCGTCGGTATCGATCTCGGCAAACGGCTGAAGTCGGTTGCGCATGCGGTTGACGCGCTGCTCTTTGAACACCACGGGGATGGGGTGGGGCCCCAGGGCGTCCCAGAGCTCTTGGGGGGTCCGCTCCCCAATGTTGTTCCACACGATGATGACCCGCCGCAGGTGTGGTACCGCCTGGTAATGGTTGAGCAGTTTCAGGAGCACGTCGGTGCGGTTGTACGTCTGTATGACTATGGTAAAGGCGGTGGCGTCCTGCTCTGCCTGCTCTTCCATTTGGTGCCTGGGAATGGCGTTGGCATTGCTGCCGGCGGTGGCTCTACGGCGAAGGGCTCCCATGGCGCCGACATTGCCACGGTCCTCGATGGAAGGGAGGAGGGCAGTCAAGGCAGCACCGACCAGGAGAAGGAGTAGTATGGGTGCCACGAGATAGGACCGCCGAAGACCTTTGCAGCCACGGAGAAGGACTCTGCACTCAGGAGAAAGAAGATCAAAATGTGGACATATACAGATTCCCAAATCAACCCCTAGCCCATAAACATTATACACTTGTGGAGAGCTGAGCGGATTAGATGGGCATAAACAATATGGAAATCTGTAATAGGTCAGGTGGAATTTGCGCCATATTGCTAATGCACATTTCTTGTGTAATCCACACAGATCACAGATCTTCCGTGTTTAGGGTGCAGGAGCAAGGGGTCGATTTAAGGAGCCATATTTTACAGAATAGGCTTGGGGACTAAGAAACTATTTCACAAAATAGGCCTTCTAAAAATATGGAATATTTGTCAACTGCATACATTGTATCCCCCGACATCACCATCACAACACCCTCCATGATAATAATCGACGACAACATGTTGCGCGCGCGCATATGGAGAATTTATTTGATTGGGCCTATTAGGCTATGGCATCATCAAAAAGTTAACTTTATCAAACTGTACTTTAATGGCGTTAGTGACATTTAAAGTAGCCTAATGAAAATGAGTTACAAACCTCGTCCTGCAACAGCCTAGGCCACTTAACAATACAACAGTGAGAAAAACACTAGGCTACCTACCTCATTGTTGTATCCTTATAACGCGCATTCCAGAACAATTAATTCATCTACTTTAGTTTCCACCCTCTTTTCCCATTCCACACAGAGTTCTGTTGATTTACGCAGACGCAACGTAGACTTGCAGGAAAGTATTTGTAGGCAAATTCGGGAAAGTCAGGAAAACTACAATGACGCACAACTGTACTGCTTTGCGGCCATTGTTTTTGCCGCAAAGTGAGGGGCTTTTAGTTTTACGACGTACTTGGAAAATTGGAGACTAAAGGCAACCTGGAAACGTCCTAGGAAATATATTAAAACGCATTAGTTGGTTATACAAGTCGCAGTTGAACAAACATGAATTCTATTGCAACGACTTGTCCTAAAGTTTCTCTTTCCAATGGCCTGCAAATTCCAATTCTTGGACTAGGTAAGATTTAAAAACAATCTATGATAAGAATGTTCAAAAGGTGCCTTTATTTTACATCACGGGCAACCTTTTAACGAGAAATGTAACATAGGTGACGATTTTCAACTATGTTTACCACTGTGCTCAGGAGTCAGTTAATCCATAGATATACTGTATGGGATTACTCCGATGAATTTCTGCTGAAACATTGCCACGTTGTGTCAAACTAGCCTACATAGATGATCGAATTCATGCTAGAACAGTCGGTCAAGAACACAACATCAAAATTGTATAAGTATAAGAGGGAGTCATGAACTGAATATGAAAACACCACAGACCAGTGTGAAAGAATTGGGGTTCTCAATAGTGGCTAAACAAAAGGTTTTGTAGATCAGTAATCCGTGTGAATGAAGAGACGCAGTAGCAGTAGTCCACAGAGGCATCCTCTCTGGTTCCCCTGTTATTTTTTTCTGCTCTGTGAAAGAGCTGGACTGGTGAAAGCAAACATCCGGTAAGTAGGCCTATCCTCCAAATTGCTCTCATCTTATGTTGTTTATATGAGTGCAGATGAAGGAGAAGATGCTAAGGGAGAGGGAACCACCTCAGACTATTGAGATGGCACCAATGAAAGGAAGAAGTTTGAAATTCCTGACAGTAATTCTAAAATCAGGGAAAGTGATATATCTTTATTTTCTTCCCAAGGAACATCGCATGACGGCGGGTATTCACATGACGCCGTGTTGTACGCGCTCCGGGAGTGTGGCGTGCGGCACATCGACACAGCGAAGCGTTACGGCTGTGAGGAGCAGCTGGGTAAAGCCGTGCGGGAGAGCGGAGTACCACGGCAAGACCTATGGCTTACAACCAAACTGTGGCCCGGAGAATACGGCTATACCGCTGCCAAAAAGGCCTGCCGCGACTCGTGTTCCCGTCTAGGGGTGGAATACCTCGGTAAGGCTCAGGACTATAGTTGAGTACTTTTTACTGATCTAATAGATAAAGTGTTCAGACCTTTTTGATCTAATAGATAAGGGAAACTTATTCAGACTTTATTGAACCAGGTCAATTGAAAACCAGTTCTCATTTGCAAGAGACAATGCCACAACAAGATTATCTCCCCCTACTCATACCAAAGCTTGTCCACTATAGGTAAAAAAAAAACTGCTTTCCTCTCACCCTCCCTCTCTTTTCACTCTCACCCACCTTGGTGGAATGTCTACCGTCTCCTTGCTCTCCCTCTAATTGTATCAATCCTCTTTTTTCCCCTTATACCTCCCCCCCTCTCTCGCTCTCTCTCTCCCCGTCTCTCCCCCCTCTCTCACTCCCCCCTCTCTCCCCCTCCCCTCTTTCACTCTCCTCTCGCTCTTTCACTCTCCTCTCTCGCACTCCCTCCCTATCTCTCTCGCACTCCCTCCCTATCTCTCTCCATCTCTCACCCCCCCTTCTCGCTCTCCCTCTCCCCGCCCCTTCTCTCTCTCCCTCTCCCCTCCCCTTCTCTCACTCCCTCTCCCCTCCCCCCCTCTCTCTCTCAGACTTGTACCTGATGCACTGGCCAGACGCCATGGTCCCAGGAAGGTCCAATAGGGAGGTCAGGGTGGAGACCTGGAGGGCCTTGGAGGAACTGTATAAAGAAGGTGACACATAGAAAACATTATTACTTATAGCATTATAGTCACACACCGTGTTATAAGCCTATAGGATGCTGCGTAGGTCTCTTATCTAGAGTATCTCTTCTCTCTCGGTGAACGCGAGGCAGGGTTGTGTCATGCCATCGGTGTGAGTAACTTCCTCGTCTCCCACCTGCAGGAGCTGAAGGAGGACTGTAGTGTGGTGCCTCACGTCAACCAGGTGAGTGATGCATTGGCTGCGTTTCATTCCACAGTCCCTCCTGCCCTAGTTCACTCCCTGAATTATCTGAAAGGACTGGATGGGGTGATGGCAACATGGATGAAACGAGTTGTAGCTTCCTGTCCAGTGACCACCTAGTCATCTTAGCTCCGTGACGGGGAGTGAACGAGGGCAGAGAGTAGGCGATTGATATTTGGAATGAAATGAGGCCAGTGTATCTGTGGGACATGACCTAGAACCTACATTGGCCCTTCAGTTATAAGCGAGAGGAAAGGACAGACGGAGTGATGTCACTTCCCCCCCCCCCTCTCAGGTGGAGTACCACCCGTTCCAGCAGCCAGAGGAGTTGGTGGAGTACTGTCGCCAGGAGGGCATCGTGTTCGAGGGCTACTGCCCCCTGGCCAAGGGGCAAGCTCTCAGCCACCCCACCATCCTCCAGCTGGCACACAAGTACGCCCGCACGCCCTCTCAGATCTGCATCCGGTGGAGTGTACAGGTACCCCAACTCTCCTGATGGCCACCTACAGTGTCTTCAGAAAGAATTCACACCCCTTGACTTTTTCCACATTTTGTTGTTACAGCCTGAATTCAACATTTATTAAAATTTAGATTTTGTGTCACTGACCTACACACAATACCACATAATGTCAGTGTAATTCAGTAGCGGTGCGTGGGTAAAATCACTGGGGAAGCCAAGCCAGAAAAAAAGCAATTTTACCACCTATGTGGCAAATATGTGTTGTGATAATTGCGTTGTTTGCTCTATAACCTGTTAGTTCATATGCCTTGCCATCGTGATATATAGGCCTAAGGCCTGGACAATAACAAGACACAGTGGCAGAATAAATTCAACCACACCTTTGTTTTATCACAGAACCGGAGAGCAACCTCTATCCGGTGAAGTCCACAAAGCATATTGCATGTAACAAACAGTTACATGACCTACATGCATTGTTTCCCAACCCTGGTCCTCCATTACCCCCAACAGTACACATGTTTGTTGTAGCCCCGGACAAACACACCTCATTCAACTCATTGAGGGCTTGATGGTTAGTTGACAAGTTGAATCGGGTGTGCTTGTCCAGGGTTACAATAAACATGTGTACTGTTGGGGGTACTGGAGGACCAGGGTTGGGAAACACTGACCTACCGCATGGTCAAGCAAGTACATTTTTCAAAGATTTTCGGACTACTAAACTACTATTGATTTAGAACCACGGCGAATTACCGCAAGTCGCAAAGAAAACGGGCGCTGCCTCAACTATTCCAGCACCATTTCAACTTCAACATTTCAACATCATCTAATCACCTAAGCTTAGTCTAATACAGTGACAACTAAAAGATTCCAAAAACATTTTAGTCCAATCAACGTAAGCTAAATATCATGTGGCTGTCCATGGTTGTGTGTGTGTGTGTGTGTGTGTGTGTGCTTGTGCGTAAGTAGAAAAAACATGACTCACCTCGTGTAGAGAAACGCTAATGCCATCCTCTTCTCTTTCATGTTGATGAAACGGTCTTTGACTCTGTCATACAGAACACACTTTTATTTTTTGTTGTCTTGCTCGCTAGCCTAACTTCCTGGCCAACGATGCGCCAGGCCAGCTGGGTAACATTAGCCTAACGTTACTACATCTAGCTACATGTTGAACTTCCATCCTCTCAGACCAGGGGCACAATGTATGAATTTATGGTTGGATCAGAATCGTAGTTATAATCTTGGGCCAATACGGAGAATTAAGTAAAACTACAAAGCCAAATCCCTATCTCCATCCATGGCTAATTTAGGAAAGGGCCAATTTTAGCTAGCTAACTAGCCACCGGAGGACAACGAGATGCAACAATTCAAGTTTTTTCTGTCAATTACGTTTGTCTTCTGATGTGGTGTGAAGCCAAATCCAAACTGGCTTCCCTTGACACTTTTCCTTGGTGAGCCAGGACCAATCACAGCTGAGCTCACTCAGTTTAGCTCAACGCTGTTTGGCTATTATTTTTTACATTATCAAGGGAGGCCAAATGCTTGCTGGCTTCCCATGCATTCAGTGCTATGGGCGGTGACAATGTCATTCTCTTTTTGACGGCATCAGATAGATGGCCTACACATACTGAGACAGAGGGGCGCTGTTTCTCCGGTGAGATACATTCAGCCTTTTGCCAATTGAAGAACATTTATGAAACACAGAGAGATGAAAGATAAATTATTGTTATGTTTTTTAATTGGTCAATACCCTTAGCATCCATGAATATGCGCCACTGGTAGAATTATGTTTTTAGAAATTTTACAAATTAATTAATAATGAAAAGCTGAAATGTCTTGAGTCAATAAGTATTCAACCCCTTTGTTATGGCAAGCCTAAATAAGTTCAGGAGTAGAAATTAGCGTAACAAGTCACATAATAAGTTGCATGGACTCACTCTGTGTGCAATAATAGTGTTTAACATGATTTTTAAATAACTACCTTCTCTGTACCCCACACATTCAATTTAGTGGAGGCTGCTGAGGGAGGACGGCTCATAATAATGGCTGGAACGGAGCAAATGGAATGGCATCAAACACATGGAAACCATGTGTTTTGTATTTGATACCATTCCACTGATTCCGCTCCAGCCATTACCACGAGCCCATCCTCCCCAATTAAGGTGCCACCAACCTCCTGTGATACAATTATCTGTAAGATCCCTCAGTCGAGCAGTGAATTTCAAACACAGATTCAACCACAAAGACCACGGTGGTTTTCCAATACCTCGCAAAGAAGGGCACCTATTGGTAGATACATTTTACCCCTTTGAGCATGGTGAAGTTATTAATTACACTTTGGATGGTGTATCACTACACCCAGTCACTACAAAGATACAGGCGTGCTTCCTAACTCAGTTGCCGGAAAGGAAGGAAACCACTAAGGGATTTCACCATGAGGCCAATGGTGATTTAAAAACAGTTACATAATTGAATGGCTGTGATAGGAGAAAACTGAGGATGGATCAACAACATTGTAGTTACTCCCAATTCACAATTCTAACCTAATTGACCGAGTGAGAAGGAAGCCTGTACAGAATACAAATATTCCAAAACATGCATCCTGTTTGCAACAAGGCACTAAAGTAGTACTGCAAAAAATGTGGCAAAGCAATTAACTTTTTGTCCTGAGTACAAAGTGTTATGTTTGGGGCAAATCCAATACAACACATTACTGAGTACCACTCTCCATATTTTCAAGCATAGTGGTGGCTGCATCATGTTATGGATATGCTTGTAATCGTTAAGGACTGGGGAGTTTTTCCGGATAAAAACCCCCCGGAATGAAGCTAAGCACAGGCAAAAACCTAGAGGAAAACCTGGTTCAGTCTACTTTCCACCAGACACTGGGAGATGAATTCACCTTTCAGCAGGACAATAACCTAAAGGTCAAATCTACACTGGAGTTGCTTACCAAGACGACAGTGAATGTTCCTGACTGGCCTAGTTACAGTTTTGACTAAAATCTGCTTGAATATCTACGGCAAGACTTAAATGTTTGTCTAGCAATGATCAACAATCAATTTGAAAGAGCTTGAAGAATTTTGAAAATAATAATGGGCAAATATTGTACAATCCAGGTGTGGAAAGCTCTTAGAGACTTCCCGGAGGACCTGAGCCCTAGGACCATGCCTCAGGACTACCTGGCCTGATGACTCCTTGCTGTCCCCAGTCCACCTGGTCATGCTGCTGCTCCAGTTTTCACTCTTCTGCCTGCGGCTATGGAACCCTGACCTGTTCACCAGACGTGCTACCTTGTCCCAGACCTGCTGTTTTCAGCTCTCTCTCTCTACCGCACCTGCTATTTCAACCTCTAAATGCCGGCTATGAAAGCCAAGTGACATCTTGGAGAAAAATCTTCCTTTAATGGCCATTTACTGTTATAATCTACACCTGGCACAGCCAGAAGGGGTCTGGCCACCCCTCAGAGCCTGGTTCCTCTCTAGTTTTTTTCCTAGGTTTCTGCCTTTCTAGGGAGTTTTTCCTAGCCACCGTGCTTCTACATCTGCATTGCTTGCTGTTTGGGGTTTTAGGCTGGGTTTCTGTATAGCACATCTGCTGATGTAAAAAAAAAAAAAAAAAGGGCTTTATAAATAACATTTAATTGATCGCTGCCAAAGGTGATTCTAACATGTATTGACTCAGGGGTGTGAATACTTATGTAAAATTAGATATTTATGTATTTCATTTTGAATATATTTGCTAAAAATGTCCAAAACATGTTAGACATGGAGTATTGTGTGTAGATGGGTAAAAAAAACAATGTTTTATCCATTTTGAATTCAGGCTGTAACACAACAAAATGTGGAATAAGTATGAAAACTTTCTGAAGACACTATGTCCCACAAACCCCCTCAGATACACCTTGTTTGTTATTACTGTACCTGATCCAAGACCGCCCGACCGCTGTGCTATTATTACTGTACCTGATCCAAGACCGCCCGACCGCTGTGCTATTATTACTGTACCTGATCCAAGACCGCCCGACCGCTGTGCTATTATTACTGTACCTGATCCAAGACCGCCCGACCGCTGTGCTATTATTACTGTACCTGATCCAAGACCGCCCGACCGCTGTGCTCTCGTTTCTCTCTTCAGGATGGCTATTATTACTGTATTCATGAACAGACATGGGCGCCTGACTTTGTCTGAAAGTGGGGGTGCAATTTAAAAAATATACACTACCAGTCAAAAGTTTGGACACACCTACTCATTCAAGGGTTTTTCTTTATTTTTTAAATGTTTTACATTGTAGAATAATAGTGAAGACATCAAAACCATGAAATAACACATGGAATCATGTAGTAACCAAAAACGTGTTAAACAAGAACTTTGAACGTTTCTTCAAGTGCAGTCGCAAAAACCATCGAGCGCTATGATGAAACTGGCTCTTATGAGGACCGCTACAGGAATGGAAGACCCAGAGTTACCTCTGCTGCAGAGGATACGTTCATTAGAGTTACCAGCCTCAGAAATAGCCCAACCAATTCTATATGGCACTTTGCAAAGTAGCCTAAGCAGAAAATCAAAGAGATTCAATTATTGCAAAACTGCAGCTTGTTGTTGGAACACATATTTCCCTACTTCAATCAACCAGTCCATTTTGAATTTGTGATAAAACTGTCCTAATTTGGCAAGGAATGTAGCTTGTGTACCCCATCAGTTACACTGAACAAAAATATAAACTCAACATGTTAAGTGTTGGTCCCATGTTTCATGAGCTGAAATAAAAGATCCCAGAAATTTTCCATACGCACAAAAACCTTATTTCTCTCAACTTTTGTGCACAAATTTGGTTACATCCCTGTTAGTGAGCATTTCTCTTTTGCATTTTAACATTTTTTTTTTTTTTTGTACATTTTAGTCATTTAGCAGATGCTCTTATCCAGAGCAACTTACAGTTAGTGGATGCATACATGTATTTATTTTTTTATTATTTTTATTTTCCCATACTGGCCCCCCGTGGGAAACGAACCCACATCCCTGCCGGCCAAACCCTCCCCTACCTTGGACGACGCTGGACCAATTGTGCACCGCCCATGGGTCTCCCGGTCGCGGCCGGCTGCGACAGAGCCTGGACTCGAACCAGGATCTCTAGTGGCACAGCTAGCACTGCGATGCAGTGCCTTAGACCACTGCACCACTGCCAAGATAATGCATCCACCTGACAGGTGTGGCATATCAAGAAGCTGATTAAACGGCAGGATCATTATACAGGTGCACCTTGTGCTGGGGACAATAAAAGGCCATTCTAAAATGTGCAGTTTTGTCACTCAACACAATGCCACAGATGTCTCCAGTTTTAAGGGAGTGTGCAATTGGCAAGCTGACTGCAAGAATGTCCACCAGAGCTGTTGCCAGATAATTGAATGTTCATTTATCTACCATAAGCCACCTCCAAGGTAATTTGAGAGAATTTGGCAGTACGTCCAACCGGCCTCACAACCACAGACCACGTGTATGGCGTCGTGTGGGCGAGCATTTGCTGATGTCAACGTTGTGAACACAGTGCCCCATGGTGGGGTTATGGTATGGGCAGGCATAAGCTACGGACAACGAACACAATTGCATTTTATCAATGGCAATTTGAATGCACAGAGATACCGTGACGAGATCCTGAGGCCTATTGTCATGCCATTCATTCGCCGCCATCCCCTCATGATAATGCATGGCCCCATGTCGCAAGGATCTGTACACAATTTCTGGAAACTGAAAATGTCCCAGTTCTTCCATGGCCTGCATACTCACCAGACATGTCACCCATTGATCATGTTTGGGATGCTCTGGATCGACGTTTACGACAGCGTGTTCCAGTTCCCGACAATATGCAGCTACTTCGCACAGCCATTGAAGAGGAGTGGGACAACATTCCACAGGCCACAATCAACAGCCTGATCAACTCTATGCGAAGGAGATGTGTCGTGCTGCATTAGGCAAATGGTGGTCACACCAGATAATGACTGGTTTTCTGATCCACACCCTACCTTTTTTTTTTAAGGTATCTGTGACCAACAGATGCATATCTGTATTCCCAGTCGTGAAATCCATAGACTAGGACCTAATGAATTTATTTCAATTTACTGATTTCCTTATAAGAACTGTAACTCAGTAAAATCGTTGAAATTGTTGCATGTTGCTTTTGTTTTTGTTCAGTATAGATCAGTTTGTATAGGCATTCATGTCTGTAAGCCTAATGAGAGCGTGTGTGTAGAGGGAGCGGTCAGAACACAAGAGGGGAAAAGGGAATTTGTGGAGAAGAACTGCTTTTGTTGTGCCCCGGAACTGCGCATGTAGGCAGATTTTAAGTTGTTATCACCATTATTTATTTGTCTCATACATATTTGATGCAACGAGAGTAGAAATGGCTTATTTGGTCGATATTACGGTCGATATTACTTACCAAGCAAAGAAGAGCTGTTTTATCGAGGTACAAATATCCTGTGCTTTTTCATTTTGCACATAGGCACATCCAGACACAGCTTGGCTACATTGTAACTGCGAAGCGTATGGGGCTCAGCCAGGACTGTTACTTTTGTGACGGAATGAAAACATTTTAACAATGTGATTTATCCGAGTGATGTTAGGAAAATAGATGTAAAAAATGCAGAATGGTGTTAAATGCCTGTAAACGGCTTGGGGAGAAAAACTAATTCTCACTGATTTAATCATGTAATATTAGCTACCGGACATGCAGTTTTTTGCAAAGGTCTTTTGGTAGGCTGATGGAAGGCTACTCAGAGTCAGTGGGATAATTGCATACTCCAAGTCCTCTCTTCTTCTCAAAACCCATTGGATTAGACTAGATTACACTTTATTTTAGTCACATGCACAGGGTCGCAGATATAGTTGCAGTGTGCAGTGAAATTCTTTAGCTCCGAGCTCAGTGTAAATGAAACCAGGGGGAGCAGGTTAGACTAGTGGCTAGTGGTGCCTACTCAGCAGCCTGATAGTCTGGGGGTAGAAGCTATTGGCCAGTCTGTTAGTGTTTGTATACTTCCCGCGTCTGAGTGGTGGAAGCGGGGAGAACAGGCTGTGGCTCGGGTGGCCGAGGTTCCTGATGATCTTCTTGGCCTTCCTGCGACACCTGGTGTTGTAGGTGTCCTGGAGGGCAGGCAGTGAGCACCAAATGGTGTGTTCGGCTGAGCGTACCACCCTCTGTAGAGCCTTGCGGTCAGCGGCGGTGGAGTTGCCGTACCAGGCTGTGATGCAGCCCGACAGAATGCTCTCTATGGTGCTCCTGTAGAACACTGTGGGCCCTCGGAGACAGGCTGAATTTCTTCAGCCTCCTGAGGTTGAAGAGTTGCTGTCGTGCCTTCACCACGGTGTCCGTGTGGTTTCACCATTTCAGCTCCTCGAAATGTGTACGCCGAGGAACTTTACCACTTTTTTCTCTCTCCACGGCGGCCCCGTTGATGAGGATGGGGCGTGCCCAGCCTGGTTCCTCCTGAAGTCCACAATCAGCTCCTTTGTTTTGCTGACGTTGAGGGTGCCAACCTCCTCCCTGTAGGTCGTCTCATCGTTGTTGGTGATCAGGTCTACTACTGTCGTGTCGTCAGCGAGCTTGATGATGGAGTTGGAACTGTGTGAGGTCACGCAGTCATTGGTATACAGGGAATATAGGAGGGGACTGAGGACGCACCCTTGTGGGGCCCCCATGTTGAGGATCAGTGTGGAGGAGGTAATGTTGCCTACCTTCACCACCTGGGGGAGGCCCGTCAGGAAGTCCAGGACCCAGTTTCATAGGGAGGAATTCAGTCCCAGGGCCGTGAGCTTTGTGGAGCTTAGAGGGCACTATGGTATTGAAGGCCGAGCTGTAGTCAATGAACAGCATCCTCACATGCATTCCTTTTGTCCAGGTGAGTGAGGGCAGTGCAATGGCGATTGCGTCATCCGTGGATCTGTCGGGGCGGTAGGCGAATTGGAGAGGGTGAGTGTGTCGGTAAGTGAGGAGGTGATGTGGTCTTTGACTAGCCTCTCGAAGCATTTCATGATGACGGAATTGAGTGCTACGGGTCGGTAGTCATTCAGTTCAGTTACTTTCCTTTTCTTGGGCACAGGGATGATAGTGGACATCTTGAATCAGCTGGGGATAACGGCCTGAGCTAGAGAGAGATTGAAAATGTCCGAAAACACAACAGCCAGCTGGTCTGCACTTGCTCTGAGTGCGCAGCTAGGAATGCTGTCTGGGCCGGCATCCTTGCGAGGGTTAACACGTTTGAATGACTTACATCTGTCCTCCGTGGAGACCATAAGCACGTTGTCCTCAGGGGCTCTCCTCTGTAGCTCAGAGTAGTTTTGCTCGAAGCGTGAGAAAAAGGTGTGACGTGACTGGCTTTATTTTTGTAATGCGTGATCGTTAGAAGCCCCTGCCACATACCCTTCGTGTCCGACCTGCTGAATTCCTCCTCCACGTTGTCCCTATACTCATGTCTCGCCATCTTGATCGTATTTGTACTGTTTAACCGGTCACCTTGCCCTGTTTATAAGCAGCATCTCTCTCCTTCAGTTTCCCGACAAGGCTGCAATTAATCCACGGTTTTTGATTCGGATAAGTTTTGAAAGACACCATCAGTATCACATAATCTATGCATTTTTTGATGAATCCGGTGACTGAGTCTGTTTATTCATTGATGTTATCCCCAGAGGCGACCCGGAAAACATATTCCAGTCCACGTAATCAAAACAGTCTTGGAGTATGGATTCTGATTGGTCAGACCAGCGGAACCTCCCTCTTGTGTCCTTGTTTGTAGGAGGGGAGGAGCAAAATGGATTCATGGTCAGAATTTCCAGAAAGGAAGACGGGACATGGCTTTATACCCATGTCGCGGTGGAGAGTTGGACAATGTGTTGATAATAATTCGGGAGCACGGTTCTCATATTACTTTTGTTATCCCCTCTAACCTTCTACTCCAATGGGTTTGAGGAGAGAGGATACGAGCAATTGAGATTTCAATCCAGAGGCTACGGAGAAGCCTAGTCAGACGTGCCTGTGCTCATCATGGCTCTGACAGGCAAAGTGAAATGACAAAATGTGCTCGTGGTGCACGCCTCTCAAATGACATGTAGCAACACCCTGAGTGAATCAACGATACAAATGTAACAGCACAACAAAATAGATGAACTATTTTTCTTTTGCAGGTGTCTTTTCATTTTAAACACCAGTGGTGCAGCTAGTGTTTTCTAACTGCACTGAACCAAAACAGTGGTGCGCGGAAGGGAAGCAAAACTTTCCAATGGGCAAAACCATTCATCTTGAGGCGACGGGGGGGGGGAGGGGATGCAAAATGGAATCTGTTAATTATTATATAATATATTAAATGGACATATCTATTTTTTTTTTTACAAACGACCTAAAAAATATTACTGATCATTGAAAATGACAAATTACTCAATGGGATCATAATAGTTTTCTAGTAAAAAAAGTGGGGGTGCGAAAACATACATTTGCGCCTCTATTTTGAATTACTTTTCAACGTTCCACAGTTACTCGTTCTTATGAAAATGTTTTCCTTATTATACTTTCATGATTAAACACTGTAAATGCAAATCTTTATTTAATGGCGTGGCATGTTTGTCCTCACACTGCTTTGTTCCCCTTCCCTCTCAGAATGGAGTTGTCACCATTCCCAAGTCCACCAAAAACGAGAGGATCCTGGAAAACTGTCAAGTGAGTTGGATTTATTTACAAGAAGACAGAAAAAGGAAATTGTGTGCATGTTTTAGTTTAGTTCTGTTTGCGCATGTGTTGAAGTAGATATAGATAAATCTAATATTAAAAAGACAGTTCACCCCAAATCGTATAACTTTGAGATGATATAGGCTCTAGGAGAACCCCATTGTTTTGGGTTAATCAATGCCAACGTGAGTCTGTGAAGGCTGAAAAGGGACATTTGGGTGTACTGTTACTTTAAGACTCAATAAATATGTCAAACGATAATCACAAGCTCAAGAATGGATCCTGTCACATGGTCCTGCCCCAGCTAAAAGGACACGTATCATCTCTATCAAACCACCATGTTTGTCCTCTCAACTTCCACCCCTCCACCTTCCCCCCCTGCTGGTCCTGGCTCCTCCCACTCCCAGGTGTTTGGGTTCCATCTGGAGGGGAAAGACATGGCGGCACTGGGCAGGTTGCATGATGGGAGACACGTGAGCTGGGATCCCACGCGTGTGGAGTGACACAGGTGCAGCATGTGTTCACCATCACTGCTTCTGTGGATGGAATAGCAAAGAGCTGAAGCTCTGCTAACTTTCTTTATTTAGTAACTCTCTTCTTCTTACTTTCTGCTATTTTTCCCTGGCTTGCAATCTTCCACCCTACAAAGTGTATGCCCGATCTTTTGATTATCATTTCTCATATTTGCACACAAAGTATCACCTTTTTTCCTTTTGCTTGAGCACAAACCCTTTTCATCTGATTTCATGTATATATTTGGACCTTTGGCTGCACATATCTTGGCTTGCTTTTAGTTGGTGTGTGTGTACTCTGTTCAGTATGTGAATGGCTGCTTAGAGGTAACTAAGCAGAAAATGAATGGCCGTGCCTCAATTCAAAAGTATGATGTCACTCATAAGTGTGTCTCCCCTCAGGTCTTTGGGTTCTCCCTCTCAGATGAGGACGTGGATCTCGTCAGGAGACTTCACAGTGACATGAAGCTCATTCATCTCAGCTACCCACTCTGGAAAGGATAAACATCTTAAATACAAAGAACAACTTTTTAGAAATTAGATCTGTGTGTGCATGGCTGTGAATAGGAATGGTGGGTGACTCTGGTGCTTCAATCAGAATAGTGAAATCATAGTTGCTGCTAGCCTCACCCAAACTGCCTTACTTTGAGAAATGAGTGCCTATCCTTCTAGTTGTGACTGGTAGGATACTTGTTAACGTCATTGAGTTATATAAAATCAGCGGTTACTGTATGCCTAGACACAACATTGCCTTAAGCCACTGGTCCTTAAAGGAATAGTTCACCCAAATGGTTTAGTAAACTGTAGCAAAGTAAAGCAACAAAATATTCCCCAACAGACTTTCTGGGAATATCGAGGTTAAGATTTAAATTGTAGAAAAGGATCCTTCCTCGAGGATATTAATTGTAATTAACCGATCGTGTTGTTGGTCATTGGTTAAATTAATTCCCACAAAGACTTTTAGAGAGGAACGCTGATCATGAGTTCGGTTCAAATGCCTTTTTTATTCATCTCAATGTATCAGTTGCTTTTATAATTGTATTATGCATCTTGTTCATTTGTTTTATTCTTATGCATCTCAAGGTACCGTAATAGTTTCTGCAATGATTACATAAAAAACAAAAAAATCTGTACTCCGTGAGAAACACTGAAATTCTGAATTTGAACCAGAAGAGCATTGTAAAAATCATGAATACCGCACGATAATTTTTCTTGGGGTTTAGGTAAACAAAAACAATGTAACATGCTTAACTTAAAGAAAACTATCTTGGGTGCTTGGGTTCTCACATGGGTAAAAACTGTATAGCTACACATAGCTGGGTATCCCATGATGCTCTTTGAATAAGATCAGCTGAAACACTTGGAGAAACAAAAGAGGAGAACAACCGCCACTCGTGATAATCGCACAGTTTATTTTAGACAATGTGCTGCTGTGCTTGTCAATTCTGAGTAGTGAAAAACAAAATCCTTCATATTTGACATTTTAAGATGTACACAAATAAAAATGCAACAGATTAAAATGGACTTCCTGAAGATGTCTTGATTAGAACCTACACCTAGTTACGAGCCAGTAATGTGGTGAATCTCAAATGAAATCTAACACTTATCAAAAGGGAGTTTAAAAGACAACTAAGAACATGAAGCTAGCCGATGTTTCCTCAACAAAAGTTTCAGTTGAAAAGTCTTCCCACAAGCCAAACACTTATGAGGCCTCTCCCCTGTGTGAGTTAAAATGTGTACTTTTAGTTGCGACTTAATGCGACAGCGTACTTTACAGAGGGGGCACGCAAATGGACGTTCTCCTGTATGACTCTGTTGATGGGCTTTCAGATTACCCTTCGAAGAACATCTTTTGCCACAATCTGGACAAGAGAATGGTCGCTCTCCTGTGTGCACACGTGTGTGTACTTTCAATGCATACTTAGTTCTGAAATCCTTACCACATGCATCACATAGATGCGGTCTGTCAATATGCGAACGAACATGGATGTATAATTTATATTGTTTAGCAAACATCTTGCCGCAAAACCTACACGTGAACCCTTCCCCTGTGTGACATAGCATGTGTGTTTCCAGTTTATTTTTGCTCGTGAACCATTCCTGACAATGGGGACAAGAGAAGACCGGTTTAACTTCTGTAGGAGCGTTCTCATGTACGACGAGATTACGGTGCATTGACCCACAACCTGTTTTCCTGGCCTGATGTCTTGTCAAATCGAATGCTCGACCAAAGCTCCTTGAACATATGGCGCATGTGTGCGGTCCCTGACCCTGTGAGTGACGTCTCACATGCTGAAGCAAGCTTGCTCTGTTAAAGAAAGTCTTATAGCACACCAGACATGTTCTAGAATTTAAAATAACGCCAGTGGGGGGAGCTTTGGAGGTTGTTGGGTTCTGGGGTGATGTGGTATGGCTCTGGGGAATCTCTGTCCCAACTTCCCTTGGAACCAGAGAACTACTGCTGTGTGCTGGATCAACCTCCTCTGGATCCTGGTTTGGATCAACCTCCACTGGATCCTGGTTTGGATCAACTTCCTCACTCCAGTCTTGATGTCCTCTCTGAAAGTTCATTTCCTCACACTTGTTTGGCTGGTGTTTCAGCGAGTCATTTGAGTAGTCAACATCTGTGTTGTAGGACTGAGGGATCTCCATCTCGTTTTCTGCTGCAACTAGTGGCCTCTCTGTCTGGTGTCTTCTAAGGTTCACTTCCTGACTTGTCTTCAACTGCTGCGGTGTGGATTGAGAAGTCCTATTCCTGCACCCCGGACACTTTCTGGAGTCTGGAATGTTTTGACCTGAACACTCGTGTATCCGCAGATCTGATATGCTTGGGAAACTTTCCCCACATTTGATGCATGGGTAAGGATGTACATCATGTTGACATTTTAGGTGTATCCTCAAGTTCGCTGCAGTATCAAACGTTTCATTACACAGAAGACATGTTCTGTAATTACTGGAGGACTGTATCAGAACGGGCAGAGCACTGAAGGCTGTTGCATTCTGGGGTGTGGAACTGGAGGTCTGGGGTATCGCTGTACCATTTTCTACTGCAGCTATGAACTGCTGTTGGTTCCCCTCTTGACACTCATTTGGCTCAAAGGTCACACCGCACAGAGAGCAAGGGTGGCGTTTCTTCGTCTTCAAGCACTCTTTTATGTGTTTCTTCAAATCGGGGTTATTCCCAAAACTTGCCTCACAGTTGTAGCACTGGTAGGGGAGCAGACCATGTACAGATTTCAGGTGCCTTCTCAGCATAAATACATTACAAAGAGTCTTGTGACACACATGACATATTTGTCTGGCTTTGGATGGCTGGAAGGCTTTTGGAGTGTGATGAACATAAGGACCTCTTTTGTTCTGGGGTAAAGTGTCATGGGGGTGGGATATCTCTGTACAATCATCCTTCATAGATGTTGTAGACATGTTATCCTCCTTTAAAGATGCTGTAGACATGTTGTCCTCTTCTGGTTGACCTGCCTCCTCACACACATTCTGCTGATGTGTCAGTAAGTCCTCATGGTGTTCAAAGTCTTGTCCACACTGAGTGCACTTGTAAGGGCTCTGCTCGTTGTGAGATCTCATGTGTGCCGTCAAATCCTTTGCTTCGCTGAAAGTCTTTCCACACAAGGAGCATATTTTGACACGCTTGCTTCTTTTAGGCTGCCCTGTAGTAGGGGATGGGTCAGGGGCCAGAGAATTCTGAGGTTGACCATCAGAGGGCTCTTCATTGACATTCCTCTCACTCTTTTGTGATATGACCTGTCCTCTTCTCTGTCCTTGGGATCCCACTTTCAGTGGTGGAGAGACGTCTGACACAGGTAACAGCATATCAGTAATGTCAAGTCTGTGCAGCAGCACTGTCGGCTGACGGAGACGACAGGAAGTAGACAAACTAGAAATGTCCTGCACTTCCTGTTGGCTGCTGTGGCCTTTTCCTTGGATTTTCAGCCCACTGTCAGTTTGAAGGTGGACAAAATATGTATTCTTTTTCATCTCTTTGTGTTTTATGTTTTTCGCTGTTTTCTTGTGTCTACACGCTACCTCCAAAAAAGCAGGCTTCACCTCTTTATTCAAAGGCAACAGTTCACTCTCCATGTGTTCCAACAAAGAGGTCATCTCTGGCTCACTGTCAGATGAGACAGGGCTCATACATTTCTGCTCAGGTTCTGATTGGACCTCTGGGTCAGCGATGGCTTCAGCGATCACTAAGGAAGAGAGAGACATTGAAGCGAGGATCTGATTGTCGCCCGAAGACAGAGCTAGAGACAGTAGAAGGAGAAAAGTCAATATTAAAACAAAGCCAAACATGGAAATGTTACAGGCTATCTGAGAACATTCTTTCCTGTCCAAAGTGAAGGGAGGTTCTCTACTAGTAGAGCAGAGACTGTGCGTGAAGTAAAGAATCCTGCACATGCACAGAAGCTTTGGGACCTTTAGCTGTCGGGAAGAGGGGTCCAGAAAAGTCTCATAATCTGATAATGATTTCCTGTCCAAAGTCTATTTCTCCTACCATTGGTGTCTAACATGGAAATGTTACAGGCTATCTGCTAATGATTTCCTGTCCAAAGTCTATTTCTCCTACCATTGGTGTCTACGTGTCCACATGTGTTGTTGTGGTGCTGGAGAAGGGTCTTCAAAGGCTGAGGGTGGGACACACACTGCACACACTCCTCCAGGACAGAGGGGTCAGGTAGGAACCATGATGCAGTCTAATGGAAAGAGAATGGCTTTAAAAAATAGGCAACGTATCCATTTCTATTATAAGACGTTAGCTTGGTACCTGATAAAGGTAATAAGATGTTAGCATGGTACCTGTTGAAGGTAATAAGATGTTAGCTTGGTACCTGATAAAGGTAATAAGATGTTAGCATGGTACCTGTTGAAGGTAATAAGATGTTAGCATGGTACCTGATAAAGGTAATAAGATGTTAGCATGGTACCTGCTGAAGGTAATAAGATGTTAGCGTGGTACCTGATAAAGGTAATAAGATGTTAGCATGGTACCTGATAAAGGTAATAAGATGTTAGCTTGGTACCTGATAAAGATAATAAGATGTTAGCATGGTACCTGATAAAGGTAATAAGATGTTAGCTTGGTACCTGATAAAGGTAATAAGATGTTAGCTTGGTACCTGTTGAAGGGTTGGTGCTGGAAGCAGCTTCTCCAGCCTGGAGAGGAACTCCCACACCAGAGTCTGCAGTGCTGAGTCATACTTGGGGCCAAATTCCTCTGGAAAAACGCTCTAGGAGACAAGCAGGTAGAGGGTTTCAGTACTTTCTGATCTAGACAATGATTTACAATCGCCCGTTAGTTATCAGCTTTTTAGTCACAACACTGACCTGAAAGAAGTGTTCTTTCTCAACTGGGTCTTCCAACAGAGTTTGAATCAGCTTCCAGAAAGTTAATTCTGATGCCTCCATCTCAGGATCCGAAATCTACAGCAAGTATGGATAGCTCAGTCAATAAATGAAACTAGTCAGCACATAACACCTGCAGAGTGATTCCTTGAGTGCCACTCACCTTGTTGTCCCCATGAGTGATGATACAGGTCTTCATCCTGTTCAGGTGTGGCTGGATGGTCTCAGGGTTGGCTAGGTGATCAGAGCGACACAACTCCAGAACCAGCTGAATTAGTAAAAGTTCAATTTGTTATGAATGCAATTAAATTGGACTGGTGGGTGGGGCCAACAAAAATAGAAAGTGTATTGACTAGGAACCGAACGGAAGCAAATGGGCCCGAAACAGGGAGGGACCCATATGAAAGTGTCAAATAAGAAATTGTCGTTTTTGTTGCAAAAACATTTTGCTAAGATAGTACTTTATTAATCCCCCAGAGGGGAAATTTGATTGCCCCAGACAATACATACATCACCAATAAATACGCCATAAAAACACAAGGACACAAAGACGATAAAAGCAGCACATCAATGAATATAATAATAATAACGATTATTAGGGGGTGCTTATATAGTCCTGTAGTGTGAGGAAATGTTTTTTTTTGCATATCCCACTCCCCCTGAGACGCCCGCGGAGACCTTGGAGCAATTAGGGTTAATTGCCTTGCTCAAGGGCAGAATTACAGATTTTTACCTTGTGGCCTCAGGGATTCGATTCAGCAAACGTTTTGGTTACTGGCCCAACGCCCCTAACCACCAGGCTACCTGCGGCCCCTAAGGGTTTGTGTTAAAAAGCCTCATAGCATATGGTAAGGTACTACGGTGTACACTAATGAATACGCCTCAGGAGATGAGAGTTGAGGACTTCTGGCTACTCCCTCTTCACCCATCAGCACCATCGCTCACCTGTGCTCGCAGCCCCATGACGAGTTGGACTCTCTCCCTGTAACTCATCATATCAGGGACTATCTCCAACACAGTGGTGACAAACTCCTCCACCAACCCGTAGTCCATGATGTCTCTCTGCTGAACAACTTGCCATAGAGCTGCAGACACCAGCCGCAGTGGAGGGATCAGGAGACGCAGAGATGATAGAGGAAGAGGGGGACCTACAGTAGGCACAAATTCAGTTAGCTGGATAACAGTGATGATAGGGGGACCTACTGTAGGCACAAATTCAGTTAGCTGGATAACAGAGATGATAGGGGGACCTACAGTAGGCATAAATTCAGTTAGCTGGATAACAGAGATGATAGAGGAAGAGGGGGACCTACAGTAGGCATACATTCAGTTAGCTGGATAACAGAGATGATAGGGGGACCTACAGTAGGCATAAATTCAGTTAGCTGGATAACAGAGATGACAGGGGAGAGGGGGACCTACAGTAGGCACAAATTCAGTTAGCTGGATAACAGAGATGATAGAGGAAGAGGGGGACCTACAGTAGGCATACATTCAGTTAGCTGGTTAACAGAGATGATAGAGGGACCTACAGTAGGCATAAATTCAGTTAGTTGGATAACAGAGATGACAGGGGGAGAGGGGGACCTACAGTAGGCATACATTCAGTTAGCTGGATAACAGAGATGACAGGTGAAGAGGGGCATCTACAGCAGGCACAAATTCAGTTATTCTATGAAAGAAAAAATACTTTGCTAAAACTTTGGAAGCTATAGAATAACAAGGATACTTGTCAGTGTTATGAGAGGACAGGGTCTTTGTTATACACATGTCATTCCTTAAGAACGAGCTACTATATTACATTGAAAATCAAGTGCTATTTCCATGTGAAAATGCAATTACTTTGTTTAACTAGCTAGCTTCGTTTTTGTTGGTGGCACATCTTTCACAACGTGTGGCTAAACTGTATAATAGCTAGCTAGCTACAGTCCCTCACGTTTTTAATTCAATACAATAGCTAACTAGCCGAGAGGGGCACTGCATACCTTCTTCAATCAGGATATGGTGTTTTTGCATTTTGAGCTTTCAGTGCCAGTATAATTGGATTCAAAATAAAATTATGTGAGCTTTGTTCGTGGATGAGTTTCCTTCTTTCTTCCTTCCTTTTTTAAAGGTCACTTCCGGTATTCGAATAAGAAATCCTTCAAAATAAAAGCGCACCTTTGACTCAGGTTTCGATACCGTCTCTGGTTTGGTTTGCACACAGTCATAAAACCCCAAAGAAGAGGAAGAAGAAAAAACTGAAATTTCTAGTCGCTGACATTGTTATAATAAACAAATGTAGTTAATTAATTAATGTAGTAAATAATTAATTAATGAGGGAAACATTATAATAAAGACTTAAAGATACATTTTCAGACCAACAACCACAAAACACAATATTGTAACGATTATGCAGAGAAAAGTTAACCTATCCCAGCCACATACACCCTTGATCAACAGACATTCACACATTATTTTGTGTCTTTCATAATTCACGTCTACAAGTGTCAGCCATAGAAGACAAAAGAACAGTGTAAACAAGGTAACTAACGAAATGTTATATTTCAGTAGCCTCACGCCTATAGTGTGATTTAAATGTACATTTTAGTAAATTAGCAGACGCTCTTATCCAGAGCAATTAGGGTTAAGTGCCTTGCTCAAGGGCACATCGACATATTTTTCACCTAGTCGTCTCAGTGACTCGTACCAGCAACCGTTCAATTGCTGGCCCAACGCTGTTAAGCGCTAGGCTACCTGCCGGCGAAAGTACCTTGACACCACAATTAAACTGACAGTTGATTTATGATACTGTATGTTCATTCATACTCTGGGATGTGTTCAGCAGGACACGTTTTGGAACATTCAGATATAAATATGTTATATAGAACAAACATGCCTCTCCGACATGGAACAAGAAATCATGTAGGCTCTATTCATGACATTTCTATCTGCAACGTTAGAGAACCTTTGGCAACTGAACGTGACCCTGATCTGTCTACTGCAGTGTTTCTTAATGCTGGTCTCGGGACACAAAGGGGTGCACATTTTAGTTTTGCCCTAGCACTACACAACTAATTTGAATCAGGTGTGTAGTGCTAGGGCAAAACTAAAATGTGCACCCCTTTGTGTCCCGAGACCAGCATTAAGAAACACTGCAGTAGACAGATGCAGTAGACAGATGAGTTTTAGTTGCCTAACAACTAAAACTCTACTGCCACCTAGTGGCTGTTTTCACACACATATTACAGTTTTTCTCCATTGGTTTGGCTCATTTCTTGAAACAGAAATTACATTCTCAAAACTCTAAGATCATTTGGCAAAACAGTCTTACAGTTCAGCACAACACTATAGCTCACTTGCAAAAGCTCATATCTCTCCTAAAACTGTTCACTCATGCTTCAAAACTAAATTCCTTTCCCATATAAGGAGTCAGTGCCACGAAAATGGCAAAGATCCTTCTCAATTGCTTTGGCTCATTTCTTGAAACAGACCGGACGTTCTCAACACTCTTGGTGCTTTAGCCAAAATAACGTGGATGGTTCGGCACAACACCATGGTTCACCTGCAAAAGCTCATACCTCTCCCAAAACAGTTCACGCATGTGTCAAAACTAAATTTCCTTCTCATTTAAACAGTCAGTGCCCCCAAAATGCTTCGTCCCTTTGGCATTGTGTAAGCACTGCAAGTCAAAATGTTTAGATGTTTTGTCACTATGGCAGAGGACCATTGAAATATCCCTCATGTCCACCTTTCAGTCTTAGCCCAGTCCTTCATTGACAATGGTTACTGTACTGTTTTTTGTCTAGCTAACAGAATACAATTGTGTATAAAACTGAAAAAAATAAATAGGATTTTAGGGTAAGAGTAGCCTCCAAGGTTTGACATCACACATTGCACTCATACTGCCAAGGAAATTGTAACCATTATCATTCACACACATAAAGTAACTTCCATACATCAGAGTAAAAAGAAAATGTATACAGCATAATATACTGTAATATAAACACACAAACAAAAAACAATGAAAATTATATGCAGCCTACAGTGCTGTAAATAAAGCTGGAGTTTCACAACTAACAGTTCTTCACTGGTCGCTGTCCTCACCCTCCTGGCCATCCACACGCTGCTGTCTGTCTGGCCACAGATTCTCGTCCACATCACAGCGTATATTCTCCCTTGCGATGCAACAATCAAAAGCTGTCCGCGTGAGAAGACCTCGTTAAGCAGACCAAGTGTGGATTTTTTTGTATGGAGATCTATGAGTGTCGAATTTGGTCAACAAAAAAAATGTAATTGCTAATTTGCTATGTGACAATTATTTGATTGAACAGAATTTTCGTAGTGGACACGTGGCATTCTGGCAACTTTGAGAAAAACTATTTTATATCAGAGTTGTGTCCAGTGTTCACACACGTATCTGCTTTCTCATTGGCTAGAAAGTTCCCACCTGATTTCGCCTTGTCCCGCCTGTCTTCTGCCTTTGCGGACATGTATTTCCATTATTAGAACGGTCAGTCAACTATCTTGTCAATATAATAGATAATCTTTGTTTGAGTTTATTGCGTACCCTGCCCTGAACCTAAGACACTGTCACTAGTCGGCTACCACCCGGTACTCTACCTACCCTTCACCTTAGAGACTGCTGCCTTATGTACATAGAGTCATTGAACATAGTCACTTTAATCATGTTAACATACTGTTTTACCCACTGTAGGTTTTCACTCCAACTCCGGTTGTAACTAACCGGATTCTTATCAACCAGCTAATTATTAGAATCAGGTGAGCTAGATTAGGGTTGGAGCAAAAACTTACAGGACGGTAGGTCTCCAGGAACAGGGTTGGAGAGCCCTGGTCTATACACACCTTTATATTAATATACTGTCCATACAGACCTTTTCTATTCATCTACTGTCCTACAGACCTTTTCTATTCATCTACTGTCCTACAGACCTTTTCTATTCATCTACTGTCCATAATGTCTATACACACCATTCACATACATATATATTTATATTCCGGACTCTGATATGTCTTAATTTCTTGTTCTTTCTTTTCTTCTTCTTGGATTATGTGTGTATTGTTATTGTATTGCTAGATATTGCTGCATTGTTGGAGCTAGAAACATTTCCCTGCACCAGTGATAACATCAGAAAAACTGTGTACACGACCAAAAAAACGTTGCTTTGGTGTACGGGTATGTGTCAAAATAGCCACTAGGTGGCAGTAGAGCTCTATATGTTAGGCAACACAGATCAGAGTATGAATTACAGTTTTTCTCAGTCGCTTTGGTGCATTTCTTAGATCAAAAGTGCAATTCTTGATACTACTTGTACAAATTCCAAATCATCTAGTCACTTGTGCACATCATTAAAGCAATTTCTTATTCCTTTGAACAAATTGCAATTGCTTTTGTACATATTGCAATTGATAATGTACAAGTGTCAGCTTTTTTCCACATTTTCAATTGCTCATGTCATGTTGATCAAAATATAGTAGATGGTTCTCTGTTGAATAGTCTTACCCCTCAAAACATCTAGGCATTAGTTCCTTGCATAAGCCATTACATGCAAAATTGTTGAACTATTTGTCATAAACTGTCAAGCATAGTTTTACACATTTCTATTAGACCTTTTGTACAAAAACGTAAATTGCTGAATCGTGCAGGTGAAATTAACCCTCACTCATGAAGGAATGTAAAGTGTTAGTTCAACCAACAATCAACCAGTTGTCTAAATTGCTCAAAGGTGCATCTCATGAAGAATCAATTGGCAAGCATATATAGACAGACCACAACACAGAGTTGCAATTTTCCAATAATGGATGGACCAGGAAACGAACAGGGTCAACAGCCAAGAGGAGGAAGAAGAGGAGCAAGGATGCGTGGTGGAAGGCAAAACAGAGGAAGAGGCAGAAGAGGACATAGGCGCATATCTGATGACATAAGGGCCACTATTGTAGACCATGTTGTCAATCATGGCCTTACAATGGCTGAGGTGCAGCCGAATATTGGGAGATCAACCGTGTCCTCAATAGTACAAACGTTTCGAAGAGAGAACAGGTATGTCCACCAATGTACAGTGCACTGTTACTGTATATAAGCAGTATACTGTATACTTCCTACAATGCTTCATATTACAGTAGTCCACTTGTATTTCACAGCATACAGAAATATACTCTATACAGATACATACTGCACCTTACATGCACCCACCTGTATG